GCTAGGGATGCCGTCTGGGCCAGCAGCCTTGCAAGGGTTAATACGCTTAAATGTCTTACTCACATCGGCCACAGAGAAGGAGAGCCCACAGTCCTTGGTAACTGGCTGCGTCGGTGGCACTGTTATCCTCAAAGCGGGCGAAAAAGGTGTTTAGCTTATCCAGAAGCAAGACGTCGGTGTCTGCGACGTGGCTGGTTATCCTTTTGTAGTCCGTGATTGTCTGTAGACCCTGCCACATATGTCTCGTGTCTGAGCCGTTGAATTGCTACTCCACTTTGTACTGACATATTGCCTTACGTAGGGAAAACTGCACTGTTTGTATTCGGCCATATTCCCAGTCACCTTGCCATGGTTAAATGCGGTGGTTTGCACATTCAGTTTTGCGCGAATGCTGCTATCTATCCACGGTTTCTGGTTTGGGTAGGTTTTAATTGTCACAGTGGGTATAACATCTCCTATACTTTTCCTGATAAACTCAGTCACCGTATTCGTCAATATTATTCTCAGAGGCTACCCGGAACATATCCCAGTCGGCGTGATCAAAACAATCTTGAAGCTTGGATTCCGATTGGTCAGACCAGCGTTGAATAGTCCGTAGCACGTGTACTTCCTGTTTTGAGTTTCTGCCTATAGGAAGGGAGGAGCAAAATGGAGTCGTGATCAGATTTGCCGAAGGGAGGGCCTTGTAGGCATTTCGAAAAGTTGAGTAGCAGTGGTCCAGTGTTTTCTCAGGGTGAGTGCTACAGTCAATGTGTTGGTAGAACTTCGGTAGCGTTTTCCTCAGATTAGCTTTGCTAAAAGCCCCGGCTACAATAAATGCGGCCTCAGGATATGTGGTTTCCAGTTTGCATAGAGTCCAGTGTAGTTCTTTGAGGGCTGTCGTGGTATCGGCTTGAGGGGGAATATACACGGCTGTGACTATAACCGAAGAGAATTCTCTTGGGAGGTAATACAGTCGGCATTTGATTTTGAGATATTTTAGGTGAACAAAAGGACTTGAGTTTCTGTATGTTATCACACCATGAGTAGTTAATCATCATGAAACATACCCCCCTGCCCTACTTCTTCCCGGAGAGCTCTGTTTCAGGGAGGGAGAATCTTAATGCTCAGATGGAAATAGGCCAGTGATAGGTATAGACAGTGACTCTGCACTGTTCCTACTCTCTCTCCTTCTTGTTAACTCTCTGGATCTCAGCCCTGATTGGGTGTTGTGTAACACTTGTGTCCGACAGAGAGGGAAGAATAATGACAGGGTTAACTTGTATGATGATGATGCCAACTCTACTGGCCCAGAGTTCCCACACTTCTCGCTGTAGCTGTATTTTATGGTCAGTGTAGTCAGTGTAGAATCATCTGATCTGATGCTTACTGGGTTGGGTCTCTTCTCCTCTTTGTTTATTTTGAACACGGTGTTGCCTGTGTTGTCTGACCTGTCAAAACTCCAGTCTCTCCTGTTGTGCTGCTCAGTGTTCACCTTTTTCAGCTTGACCCGCTCCTTATTTTACCACAAGATGCAAAACACATTCAAATGACAGCAAGGCAGGGGGCTTGTGTATGTTAGTACAGACAGAGCAGACTGCTGTATGTGTCAGCAGGCTCCACAGAGACAGAGGGGATCCCTGGGTGTTAGTTGACTAGAACCAATTTGCATCCTGTATTTCCTTTCCAGACAGGCGAGTACATGGACCCCTCTCTCACTGATACATACAGTACCTTGGACACACCTACTCATTCCAGGGTTTTTCTTAATTTTTTACTATTTTCTAAGTTGTAGAATAGTAGTGAAGACATCAAAACTATGAAATAACACTTATGAAATCATGTAGTAACCAAAAAAGTGTTAAACAAATCAAAATATATTTTATATATGAGATTCTTCAAATAGCCACTCTTTGCCTTGATGACAGCTTTGCACACTGTTGGCATTCTCTCAACCAGCTTCACCTTGAATGCTTTTCCACCAGTCTTGAAGGAGTTCCCACATATGCTGAGCACTTGTTGGCTGCTTTTCCTTCACTCTGCTGTCTGACTCATCTCAAACCATCTCAATTGGGTTGAGGTCGGGGGATTGTGGAGGCCAGGTCATCTGATGCAGCACTCCATCACTCTCCTTCTTGGTAAAATAGCCCTTACACAGCCTGGAGGTGTGTTGGGTCATTGTCCTGTTGGAAAAACAAATGATAGTTCCACTAAGCACAAACCAGATGGGATGGCGTATCACTGCAGAATGGTAGCCATGCTGATTAAGTGTGCCTTGAATTCTAAATATATCTCAGACAGTGTCACCAGCAAAGCACCCCCACACCATAACACCACCACCTCCATGCTTTACGGTGGGAAATACACATGCGGAGATCATCCGTTCACCCACACTGCGTCTCACAAAGACACGGCAGTTGGAACCAAATATCTCCAATTTGGACTCCAGACCAAAGGACAAATTTCCACCGGTCTAATGTCCATTGCTCGTGTTTCTTGACCCAAGCAAGTCTCTTCTTCTTATTGGTGTCCTTTAGTAGTTCAACCATGAAGGCCTGATTCACACAGTCTCCTCTGAACAGTTGATGTTGAGATGTGTCTGTGACATGAACTCTGTGAACCATTTATTTGGGCTGTAATTTCTGCGGCTGGTAATTCTAATGAACTTTCCCTCTGCAGCAGAGGTAACTCTGGGTCTTCCATTACTGTGGCGGTCCTCATGAGAGCCAGTTTCATCATAGCACTTGATGGTTTTTGCGACTGCACTTGAAGAAACTTGTTCCGTGTTGATTGACCTTCATGTCTTAAAGTAATGATGGACTGTTGTTTCTCTTTGCTTATTTGAGCTGTTCTTGCCATAATATGGACTTGGTCTTTTACCAAATAGGGCTATCTTCTGTATACCCCCCCTACCTTGTCACAACACAACTAATTTGCTCAAACGCATTAACCTTTAACAAGGCACACCTGTTAATTGAAATGTATTCCAGGTGACTACCTCATGAAGCTGGTTGAGAGAATGCCAGGAGTGTGCAAGCTGTCAAGGCAAAGGGTGGCAATTTGAAGAATCTCAAATACAAAATATATTTTGATTTGTTTAACACTTTTTTTGGTTACTACATGATTCCATAGTTTTGATGTCTTCACTATTATTCTACAATGTAAAAAAAATAGTAAAAATAAATAAAAAACGTTGAATGAGTAGGTGTGTCCAAACTTTTGACTGGTAGTGTACATATGCAGAAACAACCACTATCCTCTTCCCCTTAGATCCTAAGTAATTTGGGAGGGCAAAGGAGAGAGATACATGGGCTCAGAGGGAAAGTGATATATGAGCAGGGACTAGGAGGACAGAAGAGGGATAAAGACCCACAGGAAGAGGGGAATAGAAGGAGAGAAGGAGCAGATGGTTAGCACGCTCCCCATTGTGAGGCCATCTTGCTTGACCACATTCTCCTGTACTCCCCCCCCACCACCACCTCCTTCCGTCTTCCTCCATCCCTCTCTCTGTCTCTTCTCCCTACACTAATACCACACAAGTGTGCCACTAGTACCCCCGTCCAACCCTTCACATCGGTGTTTGAAATTCACTGCTCGACAGAGGGACCTTACAATTATCTGTATGTGTGGGGTACAGAGATGAGGTAGTCATTCAAAAATCATGTTAAACACTTTTATTGCCATGCAGTCCATGCAACTGAATATTTTTACTCCTGAACTTATTTAGGCGTTAGGGGTTGAATACTTCAAGACATTTTAGCTTTTCATTTTTGATAAATGTTTAAACATTTTGAGAAGCATAATTCCACTTTGACATTATGGGGTATTGTATGTGGGCTCAATTTAACCCATTTTAAATTCAGGCTGTAACACAACAATGTGTAAAAAGTCAGTGTGTGAATACTTTCTGAAGGCACCTTAGAAGGTTCTAGGGTTATGGGCTAAGGGTTGATTTGGGACTGGACAGGTCAACTCTAAAGCCTGGACTTCCATCATCATGTAGGGCTTCCGTAGAGTTAAGTTTTTACTATTTTATGGCTGGGTCATATAACTGCCACAGGAAGAACCTCTGAGAGCTGCCAGAGACTTCCTGTCAGCTGTCTGCCTCCACTGGCTGGACAGGAAATGCTGGTATCTGTGTGTGACTGGACAGGAACAGGAAGGGTAGAGTCATTGGAATTCTCCCTTCTTTTCCTTGTATGGCCTCACTGACATGCCCTGTCCCTTTCTCCATACTTTTCTGGTACTTTTCCTTGTGAGCTCTCCTCAGTGTTGTTGCATTGACCACTGTCAGCGAGTTGTGAAGGGGCCTTTGTTGTTTGTACATACCTTCCTTCATACACCTCTACCTGCCCTTTACCTGTGGGGACAGACAGACAGACAGACGTTGTCATTCAGGGTGACAATAAGGGTTTCTTCTAAGAAATATAAAGAAGGAGAATGTCCACATTATTAGAACACACAAACAAATCATGGTTGATGTGTATGTATACAGTTTACCATGCTCTCCTTCTGAGCAGTGTAATCACTATTACAGCTCTTCGGTTGTTAATGTTGTGTTTATGAGTTGGCTGCAGTTGTTCTCTTTTATAGCTTTGGTGTATGGTCTCATGCTTCTGATGTAGCCTAGCTGGGATGTGTGTTTGCAAGCAGGAGAAAATGGGAATTGATGGAAGTTTAGGGAACAGGGAGAGGAAGCTATGTAGCAGTAGAGTTGGGACGTGGCCCTGGTGTCTCTGTGTAGCAGTAGAGTTGGGACGTGGCCCTGGTGTCTCTGTGTAGCAGTAGAGTTGGGACGTGGCCCTGGTGTCTCTGTGTAGCAGTAGAGTTGGGACGTGGCCCTGGTGTCTCTGTGTTTGACTCCCTGACTGAGGAACAGGAGAAACCCTGTTGAAACCTGCTGACCAATGAGAAACTGTGCAGCTGCTTCTCTGTCTCTCTCTCTCTCTCAGAGTTGGTGTGAGCAGCGCTCTGCCCTCCCTACATTATTAATGAGCGGAAGTTTAGCTCGTTTTGTGTGTGTGCAGACACTAATGTGTGTGTGTGTTTTGCAGATGACTGCGAGCTAGCCGGCTGAGTAGAAGAACGGGAGTCCCCCCTGCCCCCTCTGCCACCTGCAGCCATGAATGGTAAGACCACGGCTTTATTACTCTGTGTGTGCTATGGCGTTCTCCTCCTCTCTCAAGGGCACATTTAGCTGGTTTTTTTCCCTTTTCTTTTTCTGCTGAGTCTCCATTCTTGTCCTCTGGTGCAGCAGCAGTGTGTAGTGTGTCGCTCACTGGGCTGTTCACTGCAGCACGACTCTGTGTCTGTCTCTGTCCAGCTCCTATATCTGCTGTACCAGTGTTGTATCTAACTCTACGCCCCTGTTCATAGATCCTATCTAAGTCAACACCCCTGTTCATAGATCCTATCTAAGTCAACGCCCCTGTTCATAGATCCTATCAAACTCTACGCCCCTGTTCATAGATCCTATCGAAGTCAACGCCCCTGTTCATAGATCCTATCTAAGTCAACGCCCCTGTTCATAGATCCTATCAAACTCTACGCCCCTGTTCATAGATCCTATCAAACTCTACGCCCCTGTTCATAGATCCTATCTAGCTCTACGCCCCTGTTCATAGATCCTATCTAGCTCTACGCCCCTGATAGATCCTATCTAGCTCTACGCCCCTGATAGATCCTATCTAGCTCTACGCCCCTGATAGATCCTATCTAGCTCTACGCCCCTGTTCATAGATCCTATCTAGCTCTACGCCCCTGTTCATAGATCCTATCTAGCTCTACGCCCCTGTTCATAGATCCTATCTAAGTCAACGCCCCTGTTCATAGATCCTATCTAGCTCTACGCCCCTGTTCATAGATCCTAAGTCAACGCCCCTGTTCATAGATCCTAAGTCAACGCCCCTGTTCATAGATCCTATCTAGCTCTACGCCCCTGTTCATAGATCCTATCTAGCTCTACGCCCCTGTTCAGTCCTGTTCAATGTAATTTAAATTAATTTCAAATAATTAACATTTTATAAACATTTTGCTCTACTCTATGCTCTGATGAAACAGGGAAAAACGCCACTAAGAGATGACAGATCTAGTTTTAAGTCAGTCACATCACAACAGTGTTTCCCTTCGGATTTTCTTCAGCAGTGGTGGCAGAGTTATATGTTTCATTTTTTTGCGGTGGGGGCCACGATATAGCAACAGCAGTGCGCCGCTGCTAAATTCATATAGGGGAAACACTGCACAAACACAGTCTACCTACTGGGAAAAAATCAATAGACTGAAACAAAATTGGCCTGTACTGTAAGACCATGGTCCAATTACAGTGAGCCTCCTGTGTTCCATGGTGCAGTGCTGGAATTGATTGTGTCAGGGACAGAACCACACAACACTAAACCAGTTCACTCTTATCTCAATCTCTGTCTTATCTTTCTTTATTACTACCGTATAATCAGTGGTTTAAACACACAGACACTAGAAGTGATCTGAATATGAATGATGTGGACAATTAAACAATAAAGAAGCGATAGCAATGGTAAGCATGTTCTCCCCCACAAATGATGCAGCACCCCCCTTGGGCCAATTAGTGACAACAATTCAAACTCAAACGGGACAGGAGATATGCTTGTTCAATGTTTGGTTTTTCTGTTGATTACTATGGCTCCCCCTTGGGCCTATAAGTGTAATTGCACAAATGACGGAGCTCTATGGCAAGACAACTTTCGTCAAAATCGGGCCTGTAGTGTCTGAGATATTGCGTGTAACGTACGAATGGACGGAGACTGATTCATACTCCCCCCTCCGATTTCATTGTGGGGGACAATAACAATGTTTTAGCCCTCCAACGTAAAAATAGAAATAAGAAAGAAGCTAAAGAAAAAGGACAGAGCCCTCCACACAAACTGAGTGAGGTGGGTGGGTGAGTGAGAGAAAGGTTCTGTCTTGTATGACTGCTGGGTCTTTCACTAACCATGATCAAAAAAGGCAACAGTAAACGTAGTCCCCCACGAATGATGCAGCGCCCCCCTTGGGACAATCAGTGTAATTTTGTAAATGACGGATTTCTATGGCAAGACTCATCATTCACCCAAGTTTCGTCAAAATTGGGCCAGTGCTGTCAGAGATCGCGTGTGCCTAACGGACGGAGACAGCTACAGTCCCCTCCCCGATTTCATCATGAGGGACAATTAATGTCTGAATTCCATCCTTGTTCTGTCGCTCTGATTCGGTAATGGTAGAGGCTTTGCCTGGAGGTGTGTCTGTGTATAGCGTGTGTTTTAGGTTGTCTAGTGAAACCTCAGCCGTTTCCTGTGTTGGGAGTTGTTGCTCAACCTTTCTGTGTGTGTGTGTCACTACCCCACACCTCTGTTTTCCTTGTCCTGATAGACTTGTAGGCCTTTTCCCTCAGAGATGGCTGAGATTGGTAGCTGAAAATGATTTCTCTTTCCTCTCTTTCTCCAGGCGGCCGCAGTGTGTGGGCGATCTCTCCAGAAGAGCGGGACAAACATGACAAACAGTTTGACACCCTCTCTCCCGTCATGGGCTACGTCTCAGGTACCAAGACAATGCATGCTTGCACACCATCTCTCCATGCTGTAATGTCTCTTCTCTGTTTGCACCTTTTCACTCACTCCTTCTCTTGTTCTCACTCCAGGGGAGCAGGCCAGAAAGTTCTTCCTGCAGTCGGGTCTGCCCTCCTCAGTGCTGGCAGAGATATGGTGAGCACACACACACACGGCCTCCCTTCTCTGTGCTGTGAGAAATATTGTAGGCGGCTGCTCTCCAGTCTCACACACTTGATTGTCCAAAGGAAGTAATGACCCTCTCTCTCCCCCCAGGGCCCTGGCTGACATGAATAAGGATGGGAAGATGGACAGGTTGGAGTTCTCCATCGCTATGAAGCTCATTAAGCTCAAACTTCAGGGCACACCCCTTCCCTCATCTCTACCAATCATCATGAAGCAGCCACCAGTGCCCGCCCCTAACCCTGCCTCAACAGGCGTCATGTCCTCCTCACGCTATGGTACGTTAACACTTCTATTCTATTTTTATTTCAATGGATGATGTTTTGTCTTATCTTTCTAATATTGTGTGTTTCTCCTCTGTATCTCCAGGAATGGGCTCCATGCCAAACCTGTCTATAATGCCCGGAGCCATCGGCATGCTCACCCCCATTCCCATGACATCTAACTTCTCAACCATGACCCCTAACTTCTCACCCATGACCCCTGTGACTGGCCTCACTCCTATGGTCCCAATGACAGCAAGCATGGTCCCCCTGGTTTCCACGTCAACAATGCCCCTGCTGCCATCCCTGGGCAGCCCCTCTCTCCCCAATGGCACTATGGGTATCCTACAGCACCTCCCAACAGGACACATGGGGACAGGTAAGAGGAGGACAGGCTCTCTCTCTTTCTCTCTATCGCTCCTTCCACCCCCTCTCTTTCAATCTGTATGGAAGTGAATGGAGAGTAGAAACTGCTGAGTCACCATTCGAAATAACTAATAATACACTATCATGGTGTATTTGTAATGTAACCATACAATAATTAAAATGTATAAGGACCGTTTATAATGCACGTGTGTGTGTGTGTCAAGGCATGCCTCTCTCTGCGCCCTACGCCTCCTCTCCTCTGGGTTTCTCTCCTGGGATGAACAAAGCTACGTCACTGCTGGACCTAGGCTCAAGCAGGTAACACACACACACACACACACACACACTTGATCGGATCTGACCTACATAGTATCTGACCTCATAGGATCTGATCTACATAGGATCTGATCTACATCTCTACCAATTTGGATGCCAATGGACTGTTTCTACATTGACTAACTCTATAATGCTCTCTCACCATCCATCTCTTTCTCTCCTCTCTCCTCTCTCTCCATCCACCCCCTTCTCTCTCTCCTCTCCAGCTCCAACTCTTCGTCCACCACCTCCCTGGCAGGTAGTTCTCCTAAGACGGCTCCGTCTGACTGGGCCGTGCCTCAGGCCTCGCGCCTCAAATACAGACAGCAGTTCAACAGCCTCGACAAAAACATGACGGGATACCTTACAGGTGGGTGCTGCTGGGAAATATAGGCAAACAGATGGCAGCCGTCCGACAGGAGGGTGTCTATAGGTAATGTAGTTTACCTAAGGGACCACAATGGAATTAAGTCATTGACTTTACTGTGTTATCCCTGTCAGTTTTTTAAATGTATGTACTGTGTGTATATGTGTTTTTTATTTTTTACTGTCAATTAAAACCAATCAACCTCACAGGCAGGTGGGTAACTGTGGATAATGCAGTTATATGAGAGATGACTGTAAGTCGCTTTGGATAAAAGCGTCTGCTAAATGGCATATTATATTATTATTATATTATTATATTAGATGGTTCTAATGTTAATGTAGTAGTTAGGAAGGGAAGACACTCTAGAGTAGACTGTTAAAATGCACCTTGTGATGGGTAGAATGACTGGCATACCTGTGTGTGTCACCTGAGCCAAAGCATTTGTGGTATGCGGGGTGTGGTTGTCGGCCTTTGTGTCCACTGGGTTGATGACTTTACCTTTCACTTTCATAACGTATGCTTCCCTAATTCCTTCCCTTGTAGGCTTGTTGTGGTAGACTGCTGCTCCACTAGCCGTTCGTGTGTATGTGCGTGATTGTTCTACACCTTACCTTCTCCTTTCCTCTCTCAGCTACCTCTTGACAGACCTGTTCTGGGGAAACGGCCATTGTATCTAAGACACACTGTAGGAAACCACTGTAGGATCACTTGGCAACTGTTTTCCTTCTAATTTGGAGGTTGTGCAAAAAGGCTGCAAGGGAAGTAGAAGTTATAAACCAAAACTTTACATAATCGACTGAGATTGCTTTATTCTGTGTGTGTGTGTGTATTTCAGGTCAGCAGGTGAGGAATGCTATGGCAACCACTCTGCTCACTCAGACACAGCTGGCAACCATCTGGTGAGTACACCTTCATCATTATCATCATCAACTTAGAGTTGTACCTGTATAAGAACGTTTGACCTTTGCAGTAACGTGTTTCAAAGGAGAAACCTGTGTGTGTGTGCGCTAATCTCTCTCTCTCTGTCAGGACCCTGGCCGATGTGGATAAGGATGGGAAGCTAAGGGGAGAGGAGTTTATTCTGGCCATGCATTTAGTGGACATGGCCAAGACCGGCCAACCCTTACCTCTCACACTACCCACAGAACTAATACCACCATCACAGAGGTACACACACACAAACACACACAAACACACACACAAACACACACACCTAACCCTTCCCCTCTCTTTTTCTGGTAGGGGTGCTGTGAATGGGACCGGTTTATCTCTCTATGCTGGCATCACTGAAGAACTGGAGGCTGAGCCACCACAGAAAACCAAAAGCAACTGTATGTACACACACAGACACACACACACACGACTCTCACTCTTCTTCTGTATGACTACAACACATACATTTACATTTTACATTTTAGTCATTTAGCAGACGCTCTTATCCAGAGCGACTTACAGTTAGTGAGTGCATACATTTTTCATACTGGCCCCCCGTGGGAAGCGAACCCACAACTCTGGCGTTGCAAGCGCCATGCTCTACCAACTGAGCTACAGGGGACTACATACATAATGCATCTGTACACATCTAATGACTATTGACACTCTCTCACTACTCTCTCTCTCGTCTCCCTATCCTCTCTCTCCCCATCCATCCCTCCCCCCCTCAGTATCGTTTGAGGATAGGTTCAAGGCCAACCTGGAGCGAGGGAACGCGGAGCTGGAGAAAAGAAGACAGGCTCTGCAGGACGCACAGAGGAGAGAGGAGGAGAGACGCCAGCAGAAGGAGAGAGAGGAGCGAGAGAGGAGAGAGAGGGAGGCCAGGGAGCAGGAGGAGAGGAGGAGGAAGGAGGAGGAGAGGAGGCTGGAGCGGCAGAGGGAGCTGGAGAGACAGAAAGAGGAGGAGAGGCTAAAGGAGATGGAGAGAAAAGAGGTAAAGAGGCATGTTCTATAATGGGCAAGGGCTCTCAGTGTGTGAGTCATTGTGTGTTCGTGTGTATGTGATGGCGTGTATGTGTTTGACTGCGTGTGTGTTCCCCAGGCGGTGCAGCGTGAGTTGGAGCGCCAGAGGAAGGAGGAGTGGGAGAGGAGGAGGAGAGGAGAGCTGCAGAGCCAGAAAAGTCAGGAGCAGGAGGACATCGGCAGACTAAAGGCCAGGAAGAGCAACCTGGAGATGGAGCTGGAGGCTGTGGTGAGGCTACACTAGGGCTGTTACGGTGACCCACACACCGGCAGTCACGAATCATGACCGCAGTCAAGTTCCACGTGATCGTTTAGTCACGGTAACTAGGCTTCTCCAAGCTCGGATGCTGCTGATGGTCATTAGTAGCCTACCAAACTTGCTAACTGCCTGGTACTCAGCACTCTACTGTCCCTCTAATCACTCTGCCATCAATGCACATTTTACATTTACATTTTGGTCATTTAGCAGACGCTCTTATCCAGAACGACTTACAGTTAGTGAGTGCATACAAATGTAATCGAAAATCAAATCAAACACTTCATGAGAGCCCATGAGCTCATGTTGCACAACATTTCTATAGGCTATGCAATTGCGTGAGAAAACAGAGTTTTGAGGGCCAATATTAAAAAGAGGAGGAGCCCATCAGCTTTCTATAGGCTAGGCCTACTATATTTATTTCTCACATTAAGCACATTGCTTCGCTTTACAACAGGAGTATAGCCTACCTGGCTGGCATGAAAATTAACCACGGGAAAAGCGGCCTCCATTTGCTATTTAAATGCATAGATTACATGTATTTTTTCCCCCCTGTTCCGAGACGGGTGCATGATAATGGTCCATTCTAAATCAAAACTAATTTCACACTTATTTTATTTAGTGTACAGTGTGTTCGGAAAGTATTCAGACCCCTTGACTCTTTCCACATTTTATACAGCCTTATTCTAAAATTGATTAAATAAAAACAATTCCTCATCAATCTACACACAATACCCCATAATCACAAAGCAAAAACAGGTTTTTAGACATTTTTGCAAGTGTATTAAAAATAAAAAACGGAAACACCTTATTTACATAAGTATTCAGACCCTTTGCTATGTGACTCGAAATTGCGCTCCAGTGCATCCTGTTTCCATTGATCATCCTTGATATGTTTCTGCAACTTGATTTGAGTCCACCTGTGGTAAATTCAATTGATTGGAAAGGCACACAACTGTCTATATAAGGTCCCACAGTTCACAGTGCATGTCATAGCAAAAACCAAGCCATGAGGTCGAAGGAATTGTCTGTAGAGCTCCGAGACAGGATTGTGTCAAGGCACAGATCTGGGGAAGGGTAGCAAAACATTTCTGCAGCATTGAAGGTCCCCAAGAACACAGTGGTCTCCATCATTCTTAAATGGAAGAAGTTTGGAACCACCAAGACTCTTCCTACAGCTGGCCGCCCGACCAAACTGAGCAATCGGGGGAGAAGGGCCTTGGTCAGGGAGGTGACCAAGAACCCAATGGTCACTCTGATAGAGCTCCAGAGTTCCTCTGTGGAGATTGGAGAACCTCACCAGATGCAGCACTCCACCAATCAGGCCTTTATGGTAGAGTGGCCAGACGAAAGCCACTCCTCAGTAAAAGACACATGACAGCCCCCTTGGAGTTTGCCAACAGGCACCTAAAGACTCTGACCATGAGAACCAAGATTCTCTGGTCTGATGAAACCAAGATTGAACTCTTTGGACTGATTGCCAAGCGTCACATCTGGAGGAAACCTGGCACCATCCCTACGGTGAAGCATGGTGTTGGCAGCATCATGCTGTGGGGATGTTTTTCAGCGGCAGGGACTGGGAGACTAGTCAGGATCGAGGGAAGGATGAACGGAGTAAACTACAGAGATACTTGATGAAAACCTGCTCCAGAGCGCTCAGGACCTCAGACTGGGGCGAAGGTTCACCTTCCAACAGGACAACAACCCTAAGCACACAGCCAAGACAATGCAGGAGTGGCTTCAGGACAAGTCTCTGTCCTTGAGTGGCCCAGCCAGAGCCCGGACTTGAACCCGATCGAACATCTCTGGAGAGACCTGAAAATAGATTTGCAGTGACACTCCCCATCCAACCTGACGGAGCTTAAAATGTGAAGAAATAGCCTAATACATTTTAATCTAAACGTTCTGATCTGTTGCATCAGCCTCATTGCTTTTGAAAGTTTTTTTGATGCGAGTGGTTGTATTAATTTGGGATCCATCGCATCCCACAACTGTCCCAGACTATGTTTGGAATATTTATTTCTCACACAGAATAGAATAGGTCAACTTTTGTACTATTGGGGGATAGTAGATTGACAGGCAATTGCTTTTGCTGTTCATTAAGCCTACTCATCTTATTGGCTGCCGAAAAGTAAATGTGGACAGTTCTTCTAACATCTTCAATATGTACAGTGGCTTGCGAAAGTATTCACCCCCCTTGGCATTTTTCCTATTTTGTTGCCATAAAACCTGGAATTAAAATGGATTTTGGGGGGGGTTGTATAATTTGATTTACACAACATGCCTACCACTTTGAAGATGCAAAATATTTTTTCTTGTGAAACAAATAACAAATAAGACAAAAACAGAACTTGAGGTCTTGGGGTAGGTCTCTATAAGCTTGGCACATCTAGTCACTGAGATTTTTGCCCATTCTTCAAGGCAAAACTGCTCCAGCTACGTCAAGTTGGATGGGTTCCGCTGGTGTACAGCAATCTTTAAGCCATACCACAGATTCTCAATTGGATTGAGGTCTGGGCTTTGACATTTAAATGTTTCCCCTTAAACCACTCAAGTGTTGCTTTAGCAGTATGCTTAGGGTCATTGTCCTGCTGGAAGGTGAACCTCCGTCCCAGTCTCAAATCTCTGGAAGACTGAAACAGGTTTCCCTCAAGAATTTCCCTGTATTTAGCGCCATCCATCATTCCTTCAATTCTGACCAGTTTCTCAGACCCTGCAGAGGAAAAACATCCCCACAGCATGATGCTGCCACCACCATGCTTCACTGTGGTGGGGATGGTGTTCTCGGGTTGATGAGGTGTTGGGTTTGCGCCAGACATAGCGTTTTCCTTGATGGTCAAAAAGCTCAATTTTAGTCTCATCTGACCAGAGTACCTTCTTCCATATGTTTGGGGAGTCTCCCACATAGCTTTTGGGTAACACCAAACGTGTTTGCTTATTTTTTTCTTAAAGCTATGGCTTTTTTCTGGCCACTCTTCCGTAAAGCCCAGCTCTGTTGCGTGTACGGCTTAAAGTTGTCCTATGGACAGATACTCCAATCTCCGCTGTGGAGCTTTGCAGCTCCTTCAGGGTTATCTTTTGTCTCTTTGTTGCCTCTCCGATTAATGCCCTCCTTGCCTGGTCTGTGAGTTTTGGTGGGCGGCCCTCTCTTGGCAGGTTTGTTGTGGTGCCATATTCTTTCAATTTTTTAATAATGGATTTAATGGTGCTCCGTGGGATGTTCAAAGTTTCGGATATTTCTTTATAACCTAACCTTGATCTGTACTTCTCCACAACTTTGTCCCTGACCTGTTTGGAGAGCTCCTTGGTCTTCATGGTGCCGCTTGCTTGGTGGTGCCCCTTGCTTGGTGGTGCCCCTTGCTTAGTGGTGTTGTAGACTCCAGGCCTTTCAGTACAGGTGTGTATATGTATATATATATATATATATATATATGTGTATATATACTGAGATCATGTGACACAGATTGCACACAGGTGGACTTTATTTAACTAATTATGTGACTTCTGAAGGTAATTGGTTGCACCAGTTCTTATTTAGGGGCTTCATAGCAAATGGGGTGAATACATATGCACGCACCACTTTTCTGTTATTCATTTTTTAGAATTTTTTGAAACAAGTTATTTTTTTCATTCCACTTCACCAATTTGGACTATTTTGTGTATGTCCATTACATGAAATCCAAATAAAAATCAATTGAAATTACAGGTTGTAATGCAACCAAATAGGAAAAACGCCAAGGGGGATGAATACTTTTGCAAGGCACTGTACTTCGGAATTCGATAAGAAGGACGCATGCAACTGCATACCCGATGTGTCTGTCTTCACTTGTAGCCTACTTGAGAGCTGAGACAGATGCCTAAGAGAAGAACCCGATCACGGGACGGGCATTGGCTAATACGAATTTAGATATCTGAGAGAGCCATGTGAGTGAGAGGTGCTTCGGAACACGCAGCCTGTGTTCCAAAGGATTTCATTATTATATTCAGCCCAAGGGCACAACGGCCACTGGCCGCAAAAGGCATGGATTTTTTTAGGGGGCATTATAGCCACACTAGGGGGATGCCGCCGGGAAATTCAAGGCATTATCAAGTGCTTGTCAAATTGTGAATGCGAGACTGATGACGCCTGTGCAAAAAACAAAGCAGAGTTCATGCCTTTCATGAGACTTTTTTCAAATCATCATTAGTCAGCCTTAGAATTGATAGAAAATCTAAACATATAGCCCAACGTTTGTATCACTACTGTTGCATAAATAACTCAAAATTAAGCATATAGGAGGACCTGTTTCTTTGTTAACCGCTCAACACAGAATAGCCACGTGCGCACTCCCTCTGAAATCGTTTGGAGAAAATATCCTTTCTATTTTATTCAGCTATGTTCAATTGTATTCTTCATACTATAAAATAATAGCACGGAATTCTAAGCAAATCTCGTCTGCAGGATGAACTAGTGTAGGCCGTATGGCATAGCCAGATCAGGGCCTAACATAAGGACAACTCAGAGTGATGGTGTTGGCTATATTAAATGGATTTATTAAATGGATTTATTAGACTTTTTAAAATATAGATGTTCCCAAGGTTTGCACCACTAGCTTGTAGGCTATGCGTGGAAGCCAGGATATGCTAAATGTGTTTGTTAAATAACGGTCAATTAGTGAGACCGGCAGTTATTTGCTTGACCATCAACGACCTCCATAGCCCTAGGCTACACGCGTGCTATACTCAGTCAGTCACTCACACTCTTTCTCTCTTTCACTCTCTCCCATTTTCACTCACTTAAATTCAAATGAGCTTCATACTCAATCACTCTGTTTCTCCGTTGGTATCATAGTTCCTAATCCACTAGAATCCCAACAGTACCTGACCACATCTCTCTCCCAGGGTAACAAACACAGGCAGATCTCCGAGCGGCTGCATGATGCTCAGAGCAAGAGGAAGGTGCAGCGGAGCGAGCTGGAGCTGACCAACAAGAGAAGAGACACAAGCAGACAGGACATCAACTCCCTGCAGAGACAACTAGAGGTGTCTGTCTGTCTCAGTATTAACTGTATTCTCAGTTACTGTTTGCCTCATTACTTCCTTTGTGTGTGTGTGTGGTGTGTGTGTGTGTGTGTGTGTGTGTGTGTGTGTGTGTGTGTGTGTGTGTGTGTCCCCCGCTCCCTGATGATGCGATTGTTCCTGTGCTTTAGGAGTACCAGAGGAAGCTGTCCCAGCTGACTCCAGAACAGCAGAGGCTCAGTGACAAACTTAGGAACATGGCCCTCAACAACCTGCCAGGTATGGGCTGGGGTTAGGCTGGGACTGGGGTTAGGATAGGCTGGGACGGGTTTAGGTTAAGCTGGGTTTAGGTTAGGCTGGGACTAGGGCTAATTTAGGCTTTTATGCTGGGGTGGAGTGCTAGACTAGTGTTTATGGATTGTTTATACAGTAGGACTCAGGTATAAGACTAGACCATTTTTCCCATTCAATCAAACATGACAATCTAACATGACTGAACAGGACCCTATGTTGGAAGACCATAGTGAGTTGTACGAAACATTTTCCTCCTGTCATTCCCTGGGTTGTAACTCTTCTTCCTGCTGTGCCCAGTCTCCACCATGTCCACTCTGAAGCAAAGTGCCAGCGAGAAGGACGGAGTGTGTCGTAAACTGAAGCAGCAGCTGGATGCTCTGGAGAAAGAGACGGCCGCTAAACTGGCCGACATGGACCAGTACCAGAACGACATACAGGTACGGACATGTATATTTTAAGTTAGCTGGTTGTCTAACACCCACGTCTCAGTGAATATTAACACGCACTCTACTCACTCGCTCAAATATTATGGTAATATGTTGAACTATAACGTTTGACCTGAAGTGAATATAAGATATTAACGTGATTGATTTGAGACCGGGCTGGAATGATTCAGTATTTGTTTGGCTAATATGATTGATAACCAGTGTGATCTGCTGCTTCTCTCTGTGTTTCTAACCTACCACTACAACTCTGGAATTTTCTCTCCACCCTTTCCTATCCCCCTTCCCTCTATCTCCTCCTCAACTCTCTCTGTCTGCCCCATACATTTTCTCTCCTCCCTCTCTCCTGGCCTGTCTTGCTACAGTATGGGGATGCAGATGACTGTCTGCTACATGGTCTCCTCTCTCTGCTCAACTGCCTTAGTAACCTCTTCTACCTCCTAAAGGTGCTCTCTCACTCTCTCTCTTTTCTTCTCTCCCTCTGTCCTTCTCTCTTTTCTTCTTCTCTCTCTCCCTCTCACTCTCTGTCTTTGTGTCTAGACTCTAAACCACTCTTCCCTGAGTTCTCCAACCCCTCTCACCCCTGTGCTTGCTGTGCCATCTGTGGGTTTGTAGTTTGTGCTTCATGTCAAATACTATGCCGTTACCTCTCCCTCGTCACAGTTCATTGTCAGTCATAGATCATGTTGTGCCTTTCTTATTCTGAATATGTCCCTCCCAGTTAGTATGTGAAATGTGCCCTCTTATTGATGTTGTGCATATGGTAACATCAGGATCTGAGAGAGAGCCAGTGGAAGCAGCAGTCGGCTCTGGATAAACTACGAAGCATCAAAGAGGACAAACGGAGAGAACTGGAGAGACAGAGGGCGCAGGAGGAGGAGAGGAAGAGGAGGGAGGAGGAGGAGGCCCAAAGGTGACCTGGTCTCTCCTCTACCTAACACACGCACACCTGTACACGAACACACACACCTATGTACATACACACACATATATATATATATATATATACACACACACACACACGCTCAAGCATGATCTGTTCTGACATAGACCTCTCCCTCCCTGTCTACCCAGGCGTATTAAGCTGGAGAAGGAGCGTCAGTGGCAGAAGAAGCTGCAGAGAGAGGAGGAGGAGAGAGAGAGGAGGTTGCAGGAAGAGAGGGAGGCCAAACTGAGAGAGGAGGAGGAGAAGGAGACACAGGCCCGCCTCTTAGCTGCTAAAGAACAGGCAGAACGAGAACGCAGAGCGGAGGAGAGGAGAGAGCAGGAGAGGAGGATGCAGGAGGAGAGGAGAAGACTGGAGGAAGAGGAGAGGAAGATGGAGGAGGAGAGAAGGAAACAGGAGGAGGAGAGGAAGAGAAAGGATGAGGAGAGGCGAGAGGAAGAGAGGAGGCGGCAGGAGGAGCGGAGGAAGCAAGAAGAGGAGGATCGGCGCAGAAGAGAGGAGGAGAGGAAGAGGTTAGAGGAGGAGATGATGGAGAGAGAGAAGGAGGAAGAGGAGAGGAGGCGGCAGCGGGCTGCAGAAGCAGCGATCCGAGACGCAGAGGAGAGGAAGAGAGTGGAGGAGGAGAGGAAGAGGAAGGAGGAGGAGAGGAGAAGGCAGGAAGAGGTGGAGAGGAAGAGGCGCGAGGAGGACAGGAAGAGAGTGGAGGAGGAGAGGAAGAGGAAGGAGGAGGAGAGGAGGAGGCAGGAAGAGGTGGAGAGGAAGAGGCGCGAGGAGGACAGGAAGAGAGTGGAGGAGGAGAGGAAGGAGGAAGAGAGGAGGAGGCGGCAGGAGGAGGAGGAGGAGAGGAAGCTGAAGGAAGAAGCAAAGAGGAAGCTGGAGGAGGAGAAGAGGAGAAGAGAGGAAGAGGCGTTGCGGCAGCATAGTGCAGGGAAGACCAACATCCATGACAAACTGTCAGCCCTTCTCAGAGGACTAGAGGAGAGGAAAGGTAATGAGGAACAACTAGACATTCAACTGTTCTTTCATTCCCCTGCATTCTATTCATTCATTCATTACCTCTTTATTAAACCTTTATTACGATATCGAAAACCAAAAGGCACATGGTTGCTCTGGTCAAAAGAAGTTCACTACATAGCAGGGTAGGGTGTAATTAGAGATTAATATATTTTCAAATGTGAACTGAGGTGCTGTTATGTGAATGGCTGTTCCAGGCGGTCTGCAGCCCCAGGCCATGGAGCACAGGAAGTCTGCGGCGCTCACTTCCTTCCGGGCGCTCTACCCCTTCACCGCTCGCAACCAGGACGAACTCAGCTTCGAGGCCGATGAACTCATCGAGGTTAGAACCATAGAGATTACGATTTAATTATAAATGTAATTTACACTATGACATTTCTGAATACAGGTTTGTGCTTCTTTGTTGTGTGCCCATTCGTGTGTGTGTGTGTCTAGGTGGATGAGAGTATGGAGCGGGAGCAGGGTTGGCTGTATGGCAGTCGGCAGGGGAAGATGGGCTGGTTCCCAGAGAGCTATGTGGAGAGACAGGCCAAACCAGAGACACCTGCTACTGCTGTTATTAATACAACTCTAGCTGCCACTACCACTGCTGTTGCTACCACTGCTGTTTATGCTACTGTTGCTAAACAGGCCCCCAGACCACAACTCTCCACCCCCAAACACACAGGGTAGGATGGTTAGCACTCACGCACACACACAATTGCTACCCATAGGTCCTTTGCCTAGGAATGGACCGTGTTACCTTTCCTCAAACCTGATGAGACATTCATATGGTGATTTCATGTAAATACTGTACTACTGACAGAAAAGTTAATGACCTTTGACCCTTGATGTCTTCTAGGAAACCCGGGGGAGACGCTGCCATGCCAACGGGACAGAACTCCGCCTTCACACCTACACACGCCCCTCACCACGCCCCCTTGGATCAGATACAGGTATAGGAGAGGGGTGGAACGAGCCAATTGGAAGCAAGGGATGAGTAGGTGGCCAAGATGGCCAATATCGTGATTGGTGATGGATGGCTCCACCTTTTCTAGAGCACGGCACACTGGCACACCTCATTCAATTAGTCAAAGGCTTTATGATTAGTTGACTAATTGAATCAGGTGTGCCATTTTAGGGTTAAAACATAATCTGAAACGTCTGGGGGGGCCCGAGGAGAGGGTTGGGAAAACCTGGTCTAGAGGGTCCTTCTTAAATATGTTAACACTGAAGGGATAGGGGCTACGGCTGGTTATTGCACCAGGGATTCCACAGGACTGTGCTGCCATAGCTGTCCTCACCATCACCTGTACACAATACAACCAGGAAGATGGAGTGGAGGAGCAGGAAGTGTCGGGTGATATTTACACTGTAACACCCCACACAGATCACGTTGCTACATAGAGTTAGTTAGAGGACTCATCTTTGTATCTGTCCCACAGGCAGATCCATTGAGGCCATCTCCATTTAGAAATGGTCAATTATCTTGTATGTTGAAAAAATGCATAACGCTTATATTGGTGATTTACCACCACCTGCAGCTGGAGTCCTGAACCATATATTGTGTCATTCATTTGCTGTGGCCACTAAATGGCGGGGATATAGCGTGAGCCCTTGATGAGTTGAATGAGCTGTGTTTGTCCGGGGCTACAACGAAAATGTGTTCTGTTGGGGATACTTGAGGACCACAGTTGGGAAACACTGCTCTGACTAGACAGATAATTCCTTATGCCTACTCTGATTTATACACACAGATACAGACAGCACTGGTTAAAAGGAAGGGACTGGTGTAAGGAATATGACGGAAACTCCCTCCAGCCTGCTTACACCAGTCTAGAACATTTAAATTCATGAGGAGTGAAAAAGGAGAGCTACCGTCCAGTAGGTTTTCGCTCAAACCCTAATCTAGCGCACCTGATTCTAATAATTAGCTGGTTGATAAACTGAATCGGGTTAGTTACTACTGGGGTGGGATTGAAAACCTATAGGAGGGTAGCTCTCCAGGAACAGGGTTGGAGAACCCTGAACTACAATCTCCCAATTTGACTTTGACCCCATGTCCTTCTCCCCTCTCTCCCCCTCAATCTTATATCTCACTCCATCACCCCTTTTCTCTCTACCTCCTTGCTCTGTCTCTTCCTCCCTCCATCACCCTCGTCCTCGCTATCTGCCACACTATCTTTAACTGCTCTAGGTGGTGGGTAGCCTGCAGGCCCAGGCTCTGTGTTCGTGGACCGCTAAGACAGAGAGCCATCTGAACTTCAGTAAGGATGATGTGATCTGGGTGCTGGAGCAGCAGGAGAGCTGGTGGCTGGGGGAGCTCAACGGGGTGCAAGGCTGGTTCCCCAAAACATATGTCAAACTCCTGGGAGACAATGAAGACACCACCAAGTAAATACACCACACACAGTTTTTTTCCCCTCACACACATCTTTTTGTCTGACAGGCCCTTTTGTTATCAGTGAAGGAATTCAGTCATGTGTACCTGAAGATATGTGTGCAAGGCTGCCTGTGTGGTGTGCCAAAGGGAACCGCCTGCAGTAGAACTAGCTAACTGTGTTTGCTTATGTTGTAATCGTTTTAATAATGTCTATTTGTCTTGTTCCAGCTCGATCAATTCCCCTCCTGATGGATCTGAAGCCACAGATGCTGCTCAACAGGAAGGTAGTTTGATGTTTGTCTCTCTGAGAGCTCAAGTTTTGTGTCATCCAATCAGAATGTCTCTGAGGTCATGTTTTGTGTCGTACAACCAGAGTACGTGGCGCTGTACACCTATGAGAGCCCAGAGCCTGGTGACCTGACATTTAGGGAGGGTGATGTCATCCTGGTGACCCAGAGAGAGGGAGAGTGGTGGAGCGGAGGCATCGGAGACCGCACCGGGGTGTTCCCTTCTAACTACGTCAAACCCAAAGAGACAGACGTAAGACACGCACAGTACTGTAACTTGTACCTGGCTTGTACTTAAGACCTAAGTACTGTAACTTGTTCTTTCAGACATCCAGCAACTCTGGGAAATCAGGTCAGCCTGGGAAGAAACCAGGTAAGGACATCACACTAAATTATTCCCATGCTGGGAAAGTACAGTATGGCTGCTTCTTCTTCCTTTCAAAATGTCCTCTAAATCTGATATAACTCCCTACTTGTGTGTGCGTGTGCAGAGATAGCCCAGGTGAGCACAGCCTACACGGCCACGGGGACAGAACAGCTCAGCCTGGCGCCAGGACAGCTTATCCTCATCCTCAGCAAGAACGCCACCGGCTGGTGGCTCGGAGAACTGCAGGTTGGCTGACTGGTTGTTTTAGACTAGAATTAAATGAGGCAATATGATTTTGATCGATACATTTGCGTAAATTGTTATTTGATTGATTGATCTCTAAGGCGCGGGGAAAGAAGCGTCAGAAGGGTTGGTTTCCTGCCTCGCACGTCAAAATGCTGGGATCCAACAGCGGCAAGTCCACGCCAGCACCTCTACCAGGTGAAACACACACCCCTATCTCATGAAACACATCTTTAGTAGACAGTGAGTGAAGAAGAGCGACTACAGTTTATTTGGAACTTCTAAGCCATCTCACACCTTAACTCCTGTCTCCCCCTCCTCTCTACCCATCTCCCCCAGTGTGTCAGGTCATTGCCATGTACGACTATAAGGCAGCTAACGAGGACGAGATGAGCTTCTCCAAGGGTCAACTGATCAGTGTGTTCGACAAGAACGACCCCGATTGGTGGAAAGGGGAGGTCAACGGGGTCACCGGTCTGTTCCCAACCAATTACGTCAAGATGACCACCGCCGACACCGACCCCAGCCAGCAATGTGAGTACATAACTTTTTTGATGTGCTTTTCCAAAGTCGTCATTTCTCAAATATAATTTCTCAATTTAAGTGTTCACATGACAGGGTGGGCAGATAGATGCATCCTAGTACACATGACAGGTATATGGAAGATGTTAGTAGAGCCAGTCAGCAAGGTGAGTCAAACTAGTCTAAAGAGGTTACAGGTTAGGGCAGGGCTTCCCAAAGTCGGTCCTGCCCCCATCCCCCCCCACTGGGATTTGTCCTAGCACTACACCGCTGATTCAAATAATCAAAGCTTGATAATGAGTTGGTTATTTGAATTAGCTGTAGTGCTAGGGCAAAAATCTAAACGTTCACCGACTTTGGGAAACCCTAGCAACGTTATTATTTATACTCTTGGGGCGAACAAACAAATTGGAAATATTTCCCTGCTCTTGATTCCTTTCTACCATTCTTCTAATTTTCACCTGTTCGTCAATCAATCCATTCTTCTCACTCAAGTTTTTCCGCCCCTTCCCTTCCCTTCCTTCCCCCCTCGCCGTCCCATTCTTCCCCCCCCCGTCCCATCCTTCCCCCCCTCACCCGTCCCCATTCTGCCCCCCCCTCCCGTCCCATTCTTCCCCCCCTCCCGTCCCATTCTTCCCCCCCTCCCGTCCCATTCCTTCCTTCCTTCCCTTCCTCCTACCCCTACCCCTACCTTCCCTTCCTTCCTCCCACTCCCTCCCTCCCTCCTCCCTCCCTCCCTCCCTCCTCCCTCCCCTCCCTCCCTTCCCTCCCTCCCTCCCTCCTCCCCCCCCTCCCCCCTCCCTTCCTTCCCTCCCTTCCTCCCCTCCCCCCCTCCCTTCCTTCCCTCCCTTCCTCCCCTCCCCTTCCTTCCTCCCCTCCCTCCCCTTCCTTCCTCCCCTCCCCTCCCCTTCCTTCCTCTTCTCTCCCTCCTCCTTCCTCTTCTCGCTCTCCCTTCCTCTTCTCTCTCTCCCTTCCTCTTCTCTCTCTCCTCCTTCCTCTTCTCTCTCTCTCTCCCTTCCTCTTCTCTCTCTCTCCCTTCCTCTTCTCTCTCTCCTCCTTCCTCTCTCTCTCTCTCTCCCTTCCTCTTCTCTCTCTCTCTCCCTTCCTCTTCTCTCTCTCCCTTCCCCTTCTCTCTTACCTTCATCTCTTTCTCTCTGTAGGGTGGTAGTGTCTCCTCCTCCTCTCCGTCTCAGAGACCTACTTTCACGCTCACATGATCTGGACTGTTGGAGACCCCGCCCCTTTACTAACCTCTGACCCCTGTCTGGCCACACCTCTGACTTCTAACCTCTGACCTGCTGCCTGTGTCTGTTTTGGAGTAGGTAGACGTTATCCTTAAACACAAATCTAGGGTCAGATTACCCAACCCATAATGCTAACTTTAAAGGGATAGTGCGAAATTCTGGAAATTAAGCCATTTTTCTACATACCCAGAGTCGGATACCGTGGATAACATTTTTATGTCTGCATGCAGTTTGAAGTTGCAATCATCCATGACTTAATCTGTCTTTGGGTAAGTAGAAAATCGGCGTAATTGCCAGTCTCGCACTATCACTTTAACCACGAGGGGAATGAAATAACATCTGTCCCTGTGCCAGTGGTTAGGGTTTAACTTCTACCTACTCTACCACTGATACAGGGTCTGATAGGTTGTCATCCCTTTGGCGTTGCCCAAACTCTGTCCTGGTGACCCAAGGGGTGCACGTTTAGATTTTTGTCCTAGTATTACACAGCCGACTCAAACAATCAAAGCTTGATGATAATTTGAATCAGCTTTGTAGTGCTAACGCAAAAACCCAAATGACCACCCCTAGTGGTCCCCAGGACTGAGTTTGGGCAACGCCGCCTTAATGGTCAGAGTTAGCATTAGCGTTAGGTAACCTGATCCTAGATCTGTGGGTAGGGGAAGCTACCTGGAGCATCTGTCCCTTTTCTTCCTGCTTTTTCAACTCAACTCCCACCAACTGGCTTTTTTAACCTGGGACTGAACCAAGAGCTGAGATTTGACCCCTGTCTGTCTGTATCCCTGCTGTCGTTAATGCATCCAATGACGTTTCTGACCTGATGTTGATTAGTCTGTTAATTGGGTACAAACTCAAAACAGGGCTTTTTCACATGGTGTTCTATACTATAGGACCACTGGCTGAATCTAAAGAAAAAAATGTATGCTGGGTGAAGCGAACAGGTTTAAACAAACATGCACACTCTTAAAACTGTTTTCTATATTAGGACAAAGTTTTGGTGTTTGGTGACCCTGAAGTGCAATGACGCTAACGTTGATCTAGTGGGTGTCTCTGTGGCTGTCCCCCTTCACCTGTCCCCTCCGCTCTCCTTTCCTCCCATTTTCTCTTTCTCTTAGAAGGAGCGACAGATACTTTTATTAGCCCTATTTTATTTCATTTATCATTAAAGTTCAGCTCGCAAAGAACCCACCATCTCGCTCGGATTCCTAACTGATTCAATAATGATGAGTCGTTTGCTTTGGCCACACTGTATTTGTTAGAGGATCCGTGACAATCAAAAGGAGTCCTCTCTGATTCAACTGGAACGATTCATCATTGATTGAATTCTGACAACTAATTTTCTGGGGCCACTGTGTGTTTAGAAGCCAAACCTGATTGTGATGATTCATAGCTATATGAATCAACTCTTTGAGCTTTGCAGTGTCGAGAGCAGAACAAACAACTAGTTACAATTGCACCTTCATTCTCTGGCATTGACTATATTATTATGATTACTGATGATGTTTTAGTGCATGATCAAGCTAGAGTGAAGTAGCTAGCTGCTGTAACACTGAAAAGGAAACTAAACTATGCAAACTAGTGGAGGTTGTTGGACAACCAAGCACTGTCCAGGGGTTGGACTGCTCTTTCTCTGCATCCTACTACAGCTCCTCCTACTCTCTATTCTACTATGGGCTAGTCCCCGTTCCACATACCACAGTGAGACTATTTTTGAAAATGTGCCTCTGTCTTGGTTTCTATCTGAGTCTAGCCCAACCGGTAGTGTGTAGCCGGCTGCATAGAGTCCATTGGACGCAGATGACAAACGACGTAAACGGAATAATGGCGCCATCTGCCGCCCGGTTGGGCTAATCTAAATCCATAGTGAAAGGAGAAATTAAAGGCTGGTTTTGAAATGTGTGTTGTCGTCATCCCTGGGTGAATGTTAGGACAGCATTAACGGTATGACAGTTTGTCTGTGGAAGAGATCAGGAGGACAGTGTGTGTTTAAAGTCAACACAACACCATTGCTATCTGAAATAAACACCCACAGTTTCAGAATGGGAACACAGTATCTAGATATTCTGATCTCTCGCTACCATTCATTTACCCTGTAGCTTCATTCCTATGTCTTCCCAAGGCAGGGTAGAAGGTATCTTGATCCTCTGGAAGCACACACAGTCCCTCTCCTATTTTGGTACAAACAGATTTAGCTGCTTGTCTTGCTATGGGCTTAGTGTATGTGGATGAGAGGGCAGGGGGGGTATAGAGGAGAGGGGGAGAGAGGAGAGCACAGGTTAGAGGGTTGGATAAAGCGAGAGCGTCTCATAGCCTACCTGGGTAGAAAGAGACAGAAGAGAGAGGATGAGTTTACACAGTGAAGACAAGCTGCAGTTTCTAAGGCTCTGGGATGAGAGGGAAGAGGGGGGTGATACTGAGAAAGAGAAGGAGACCACCTGTATGGGACTCCACGGCTGTCAGAATGGGCACTCTGCACAAGGTAAGAGTGCCCTTGCTTTGGGTGAATGTGTGTGGTTGGTTCTGAGACGGACTATAGATTGATGGGTTTAGGTGTGTGTGTGTGTTTTCAGAGTATATATAAATGTGAATGTGTGTTTGTCTGTTCTGATTATATACAGATGTAGGATCCTAATTTGACCAGTATTGTTGCAGCAAAATAATCCTGCAGCAACAGGATTTTAACGTTTAGTCCATAATGTTGCTTGATCGGTGGTTAGGCTATTAGCTGGCCACAATTAAGCTACATGGAAGTGCAATACTGTTAATATAATTGTGTTAAGGCAGGTTTTCAGTGAATTTATGTAAATTATTAAGGTCATCTGCATTTCCTGCAGTGCAGGAAAATTCTCAGCAACAAAAGTGATCAAATTAAGATCCTACATTTGTATGATTCCCTCACTCACTCGCTCGCTCTCTCCCTCTATCTCCTTCCCTCTCCCTCTCTCCTCCCTTCCTCTCTCTCTCAGGGTGTGCTGACCTGAACAGTCTAGACTCTATGACTCCCCAGGAGAGGAAGAGACAGGGTTACATCCACGAGCTCCTCCAGACAGAAGAGAGATATGTAGAGGACCTACAGATAGTCATGGAGGTAACACACAAACACAGACGCTTGCATGTGCGCACACACTTAAACACACTTATGTACTGTACTCTGTGTGTGTGTATTCAGGTGTTCCATAAACCCATGTCTGAGTCGGGCCGTCTGACAGAGGCAGAGATGGCCATGATCTTTGTCAACTGGAAGGAGCTCATCGCCTGTAACACCAAACTGCTAAAGTACGTATTGACATGGTGTGGGTTTAGGTGTGTGAGAGTTCACGAGTTTGATCATATGTATGGGTGTCTCGGGCCAGACGGTAAGAACATGTGGTGTGTGCGTGCATTTGTTTGTGTGTGTATGCATGCAGTTATTTATGTGTCTGTTTTAAATGTGTGTGTGTGTGTGTGTGTGCGCGCGTAGGGCTCTGCATGTGCGTAAGAAGACTGGGGGTGAGAAGATGCCTGTCCAGGTGATCGGGGACATCTTGGCGTCAGAGCTGGCTCACCTCCAGCCATACATCCGGTTCTGCTCCTGTCAACTAAACGGAGCTGCTCTGCTGCAGAGCAGGACTGACAACCAACAGGACTTTAAAGACTTCCTCAAGGTGAGAGGGGGAGCTAGTGAGAAGAGAGGGAGACTGGGAGAGAGGGAGCATGAAAGAACATGCAGTGAGTGAAGGAAAACAAGAGAAGAGACAAGCGGGAGTACAGAGGAGAGAGGGAGAGGGGAAATGAATGAGAAGAGGGGGAGGGAGGTAGAATACAACAGGAGAACATGTTCATGAACCTTTCTGATACATACCAACCTGAGAGTGCTGATTATACATGGAAGGTTGTGTGTTCATATTAAATATTGCTTTTCCTCCATTAGAAAATCGCCACAGACTACCGCTGTAAAGGCATGCCCTTATCCAGCTTCCTGCTGAAGCCCATGCAGAGGATCACACGCTACCCTCTACACATCAAAAACGTAAGTGTGTGCGTGTCTGTTTGTACATGTATGCGTGTGTTGTACCCGTGTGAGTATTAGTCATGTGAGAGTGTGTATTCTGCGTCTGCATTGCTTGCTCTTTGGAAAGCACTTTGTGACAACTGCTGATGTAAAAAGATTGGTTGGTTGTGTATGTGTGTGTGTGTATTTAACCCTTGTCTATTGATTGTCTCAGATCCTGGAGAGTACCCAGGAGGGCCATGTGGACCGCGGCCCCCTGAGAGAGGCTTTGGAGCGGGCTGAGGAGCTGTGTTCTCAGGTCAACGAGGGAGTCAGGGAGAAGGAGAATTCTGACAGGCTGGAGTGGATGCAGTCACACGTACAGTGTGAGGGAGTCACAGAGGTATACACAGACACCGACGCAAGCGCGCACATCATACGCACATCATACGCACATCATGCACACATCATATACACAGATAGTACCTCACACACATAAACCTCTGTAACCCTCCCTCTCTCTCCCGTGCAGAACTTGGTGTTTAACTCTCTGACTAACTGCCTGGGGCCCCGTAAACTGCTCCACAGTGGTAAGGTGTACAAGATTAAGAGCAATAAGGAGCTGTGGGCCTTCCTCTTTAACGACTTCCTACTGCTCACCCACGCTGCCAAACAGTTCAGCTCCTCGGGACCAGACAGACTCTTCAGCAACAAGAACAACACACAGCTCAAGATGTATAAACCGGTGAGAAACAAATGCAGTGGACGTGCTCGCACACACAAGCATTAGTTCCTAATGGATCATTTTGGCAAGGTACAGAAACGACACTTCCTATTCGAAAAGCGTCACCCATCTGAGCCCATTCAAATTGAGAACATCCCCGTATCCAGTTATTTTGTTTCTCAGTGGTTATGACATGTATTATGGCCCTGTTGTGACAGCCTTATGTTTCCTCCTGTAGCCGGTGTTCCTCAACGAGGTTCTAGTGAAGTTGCCTGACCCCTCCAGTGAAGAGCCCTTCTTCCACATCTCCCACATCGACCGAGTCTACAGCCTCAAGACCGAGAACATCAACGAGAGGTACGTGCAGGCACAAACACAAATGCGGGGACACATGCACACACACTAATATGCAGGCACTCACATTCCATTACCCTTGCTCATGTCATGTGTGTATTTTGGTTCTGCAGGACGGCCTGGGTGCAGAAGATCAAAGCTGCCTCGGAGGACTTCTTAGAGACAGATAAGAAGAAGAGGGAGAAGGCCTACCAAGGTCCGTTTTTTTCTCTTTTTCTCTCTCTTACACACACACACACACACACACACACACACACACACACACACACACACACACTGCAATAGTTAAAGTAGTAGTCCTAGTAGTGGTGTGACTATTCTCGTGTGTGCGCAGCTCGTTCCCTGAAGGCCAGTGGAATCGGCCGGCTGTTAGTCACCATCCTGGAGGCCACTGAACTCAAGTCCTGCAAACCCAACGGTGAGGTTTATACACATCATACGTAGTTTACCTACACAGCGGACATGAACTAGTACCACTTATTACAATGAGGAAGGTTTACATGGAAACAGAACACAGGTACAGGCTGTATTCGTATCTTGAGCACTGGTATGTATTAACACCTTTCTCCTCCTCTTCCTCTCTCCTCCTTGTCCTCCCCCTCCTTCTCTCTCCTCTTCCTCTCCCAGGTAAGAGTAACCCTTACTGCGAGGTAACCATGGGAGCTCAGATCTACACCTCTAGGACCCTCAGTGACACGGTCAACCCCAAGTGGAACTTCAACTGTCAGTTCAACATCAGAGATTTGTACCAGGACGTCCTCTGCATCACCATCTTCGAGAAGGACCAGTTCTCCCCTGACGGTCAGCACGCACACACGAATCAAGACATTCTAAAATAGTTGTTTAACATATCAGCTCACCACATCAAATGATATAGCAATCTGATGCCCGACTGCACAGTTGGTGTAGTACAGTTGATGCATTGCAACGTCTGCAATGTAGTCGGCCTGGAACGCAACCTCTATGTATAATGTGTCGTACTGCTAACTAGTCTCTCCTCTCTGCCGTTTCCCAGACTTCCTGGGTCGTACGGAGGTTCCCGTGGCGACCATAAAGAAGGAGTTGGAGAACAAGGGTCCAGCGACGCGCCGGCTGCTCCTGCACGAGGTCCCCACTGGAGAGGTTTGGGTCCGCCTCGACCTGCAGCTCTTTCAAAACAGAGCGTCCAAATAAGGACCTCTGGGCCAACACTGGACGTCCAAATAAAAACGTCCTGCAGCGCTTCCAAACAAAGGACGCCCAAATAAGGACATCCTGTTCTGCAGCCACACTGGAGGGCCTTGGTAGAAATTGTACGTAACTGCTGGTCCAGGGTCTGATATTGTTAATCTTCCTAATGGTTAAGTTTGGGGTTGCTTGATCCTAGATCTGTGGTTAGGCCAGGGGTAACTTTTACCTGGAGCTGCCAATTTACCACCCGATGAGCTAATGGGAACCCTCCCTCCTCGTCTGAGGTCAGACGGTCGGTCCTAAGCACTGATCTGAAGACAGTTTAGCCTTTTAGGCATGACTGGGGGAGGGCAGGGTTGGGTTAGTGTAAAGCTGATCCGTGTGTTTAGGAGCAGCTTCTAGCAGTAGTGGTTCTACTTGAACCAGCACAAACACTTATGGCCTATACACTCCTCTGCTACTGACTCTCACTCTGCCAAGGATGCTTGTTGTGAACTCAACCCAGGCCAATGTTTGTTGAAACTATTTATTTCATTACAGATCATCTTAACTCTTCAGTAAATATTTGTTAAAGCTAAGATTTTGTTTGGGAAAGTAATATGAGGTAAAATGGAGAGAGGTTAGAAAGGTGTGGTGCTTTTTGCCATGATAGTTTACCACTGGACATGAGACTTATCTCAGGACTTAAGTGTTTTTCCTTTTGCTGTCAAAGTCTATATTACTGTATCAAAACCTGCGTCTTTTATTTTATCTCAATCTGTTTCTTTTTCTCTCTTATGAGTGTAGTAACATTAAAGATACATGTGCAGAGGATCTGTAAGAAACTGTGGCGACACTGAGATCTGACTAACGTTTGAGTTTTAAAACAACCTGTCTTTCTGACTACCTTTTATACTTGCTATACTACACAACATACTTCTGCCATGTGCTCCCTCTCCAATCTATGGGTGTTTCAATGGAATAGTTTATTTTGTCTTTTAAATTTGATCTCTTATAAATGTTGGGGAGGTCTTGTTCTTTAGTTGTGGTTTAGTTACCTCAAATACTAAAAGGGAAAAACGTCTTTAGTTTCTTCCACTCCTGGGGCCATATTCACAAAGAGGTTCAGAGTAGGAGTGCAGACATAGGATCAGTTTAGCCTTTTAGATCATAATGAATAAAATGATATGGATAGAGGGGATCTGATCCTAGATCAGCACTAACCTGGTCCCAGATCTGTTTGTGCTTTTGCCTACTCCGTTGTTATGGTCAAGCTAAACATGTTCTGCATGACAATTCCGTAAGGAGTTGACAAGAGAGCAGAAACAGACTGTCACCCAGGCTAGATCAGCACTCCTACTCTGAGATACTCAGTGTGCCCAGATGCCTCCATGGGCTCTATAAACATTAGTGGTGTGGCTCTTATTGATTTTAATTTATGCAACTATTAACTATCCATAGATTTTGATCAGCCTATCATCAAGGCAGTGTAATCAGTGTTTGAAATGTCTTTCAGTAGCCTTTCATATTTTCCAATATGAACAAAGGATCGCGAGAAAAGTCTGAAGGATAACAGCCCATTTGAGCTACTTTCTGTTAGTCAAAATTTGTAAGACAGGACTGGACAGGACTGGACAGGAAGTGATTAGCTGGACAGCCAAGTAAAATACTGATCTATCAGACTCTCGCTGCCTTTTCTCCTAAATCATTGATTTATACTCAACAAAAATATAAACAAACAATTTCAATGATTTTACTGAGTTACAGTTCATATAAGGAAATTAGTTAGATTAGGGCCTAAATAATTTATTTCAACTATGGTTTTCACATGACTGGGCAGGGGCGCAGCCATGGGTGGGCCTGGGAGGGAATAGGCCCACCCACTAGGGAGCCAGGCCCAGCCAATAAGAATGAGTTTTTCCCCACAAAAGGGCTTTATTACAGACATAAAAACTCATTTTTTCATCAGCTGTCCGGGTGGCTGGTCTCAGACGATCCCGCAGGTGAAGAAGCCGGATTTGGAGGTCCTGGGCTGGCGTGGTTACACGTGGTCTGCGGTTGTGAGGTCAGTTGGACCTACTGCAAAATTCTCTAAAACGATGGCTTATGGTAGAGAAAAGAACATTCAATTATTTGGCAACAGCTCTGGTGGACATTCCTGCAGTCAGCATGCCAATTGCCTGATTCCTCAACTTGAGACATATGTGGCATTGTGTGACAAGTGCACATTTTAGAGTGGCCTTTTATTGTCCCCAGCACAAGGTGCACCTGTGTAAGGATCATGCTGTTTAATCAGCTTCTTGAGATGCCACACCTGTCAGGTGGATGGATTATCTTGGCAAAGGATAAATGCTCACTGACAGGGATGTAAACAAATTTGTGCCCAACATTTGAGAGAAATAAGCTTTTTATGCGTATGGAACATTCCTGGGATCTTTTATTTCAGATCATGAAACATGGGACCAAAACTTTACATGTTGCGTTTATATTTTTGTTCAGTATAATTTCAGCTGCACAAGTCTTCTATTGGGTTTTATTAATTTGAAGTTTAACTTTAAATCCTGTTTTGTGTGTCAATTATTCTATGTAATGATTACAGTGCTAACAATGTGGATCCTACAATGCTACCTAACATGCAGTGTTCACAATGGGCACAGCACGGCACTCACTGAATCATGGCTCTTTTAACAATAATAAAAGGTATTTAAAACAAACTGTCCAAGATATCTAAACTGAGATTGCCCCTATAGTCATTGGTTCCCCTCCATACAATGTAAAGTGCTTTATGCATCAGGAAAAGTGTCACAAACCACCACCATATTATTGCTATAATAATAGGCTACTGGTTTACACTTGGTTTGAGGTGTCTCTGACAATCCATGAAAAACCTATTGCAATATGAATATACACTTTTTTTAAACTAGATTTAGGGCTCTATTCAATCTGTATCGCTGGAGTTTTACAGATTGCATGCTAGAAATGTAAAGGTAATTTCCGATTGAGCTGACATGCAATGTTTAGCATGAATGCAGTCCCCGCTAACATGGGAACGTTGCCTTTAAATTAAAATCATGTTGTAATCCTGAATTTCCGCTATATGGATTGAATAGAGCCCAGAAGCAATTTTATAAATTTCACACAAGGTGTGTTTGTGTACGTGCTCATGTTTATATAGCTGATGCTCCATACATTACAGGCATGTGGGACAATATTTCCAAAGAACAACAACGCATAAATCAGTATCAGCTTTGCCTCTGTGATACACAGGTAGGCTATACCAGAATCGGAAGTCTGTGGATGTTCACTTGTCTCTGACATCAGATTTTATCAGATCCACCAAGGATTTTTGCAGGGATATGTTGTGCAATCTATGGCTGGAGATTCGGACATGGGCTGGATTTGTATAGAGCTCGCCAGCTTGTAGTCCTAAAAAACGGAAATGATTTACATCCGGTTCGTTCAGCCATTCCTATGGGCAAAGTGAATGGGGAAAGAATTGGGTTTTGGAATAAACGCAGAAAATAAAGGGCTCTATTCAATCAGATCCGCTTCAGCCAACATCCGCATTGCGGTTGTTTTGATGGTGTCTGAGCTGGAACTGCTTTAGAGCTGTCAAATCCACAAGTGGCTCCTGCCATTATACCTAAAGCAGACATTGCCATTGGCTGCACAGAGCATTAACAGAAACCCCATGCAGCGTTGTTTACAAGTTCAAACACTGGAATGTGAGATGTAATCTTCACCTCAATTAGGATGAGAGAAATCCTCATTTCGTTGAATGATTTTTCAATTTGAGCGCAATTATTTCTATATAGCCTACATTTTCTCGTTCTAAATGCTAGTGAGGCAGGTGTGGCTTCCTGACAATGATTGCAAGAGCAGCTGCTCACCGATTTGAATGCAGTTCCATTTCCGACACCGCCAAAACGTCAGCTATGCGGGGGTGCGTTCGTAAATTTACTCTGGCTATCTACTCCGATTTCAGAGCAGTCTCGTCTGAGTGTGCCAGAGCGCAGAATAACTGATTCATTTATGGACGCTCAACACCCGTTGAAAATGGCCTGTGTCAGTAAAAGTCGGCAAAGAAGCGTAATTAAATTGTTGCCAGCAGCACAGTTACAGTCACCAACACTCACATGAAAGCAGCCGAACCAGCTCCGCTAGAGCGAGTAAAATAGTCAGAGTGAGGTGTTCTCTCATTTGTGTCTGGAAGTAGCTAGCAAGCGTGCCAACGTTAGCCAGTTAGCTTGACTGCCGTTGTGAGGTCAGAACGCTCGGATCAACGCTACTCCTCGGCTAGAGAGTCCAGTGTGTGCGCTCTGAATTTATGAACGGACAATCTGACAACGCTCTGAATTTACGAACGCCCAGAGCGCACTCTGGCACTCCAGATTGAATTTACGAACACACCCCCGGGTGTCCGCTATCGTGGTTAAAGCTTGATCAGATTGAATCTAGGCCAAGGTTAACACAGGTTTATGAGATCTTATACATTTTGTTCTATGAGATAATATCAGTTAACATGACCTTTATGAATTATAAAGCCTTTGTGTGCCTTGTTTTTTAAATTACATAAATCCTTCACAATTCACAAAAAGTGAGGTTAGCTGATGAAGATGACCTTATAGAACAAAATGTACAAGATCTCCCAAGCCTGTGTTTACCACAGAAAACGAAAATGTCCAATAGGCTTTGTTCAACGAACTATGGCGGAGTTAGTGCCTACAAGAAGATGCCATTACTATAATTGCTCTCTATTATCTACGCTGGGTGGTTGCCATGGCAACATAAAGCGTCATCTTTCACACCTGAATGTGTGTGTTGTATTATGTACCAGCTGCTTTCCCTCGGGTCTATCCTGTTGAGAAAATACACTTTTCCCACACAAACTAATTTAAAAAGTTTGAGGGCTTGAGAGAAACGGTTTATCCCTGATGTTAATTTGGGTATGATACATTTTATGAAGTATTCATCTTTGTGTATTAGTAGGGCGAACTGTTTGACAGCGGCAACATAAACCTGTTTGATGTTTTTCGCTGCCTCCAGTGAAGTGCCAACTGCCACATCATAAGAAACAATGTGCTGTTACAAAGTTTAAAATAATAATACAAATAGAAACCTTAAATTATAGCAGTGACAGATTATGAGAATGCATTGCCAGAAGGTTGCAAGCCCCTCCAGAAAAGAGGCCTAGACACTGCTGACATAATGTGCAATATGATCATAACATAAACTAACGTTAAAACACTCAAAGAAAATAACCAGTCAATTCAAATGTCTATCTCAACATCATGTTTATACAATCCCTTTTATTCTCATTAAATCCTAACACATTGCTCTGTTTACATTCTTTTAACACACTGTTACAGTGATTTCTTGCATCGTTTCAAGTAGCGCACAGGGACTGCAACAGGGAGAGCTGGGAAGACGATATTATAAACGCTCTCGGAGTTTGCTTTTTATGTAAAACAAGGCTCCAAACCCTGCACTCGACAGTGTCACCGACGCCGTGCGTTATGTCGTGACTCAGGAGTCCCCTGATTTAAAGTGGCAAACTTCCCCGACACAAATTCAAAGAAGATCAACCGGAGAGAGGAACATAAAAATAAAATAGAGTGGGGAAGAAGAAAAGGTCTTTTGATGCCCTGCATCATCCATTATTCAGGTGTGGGTGGTGACTCCATGTCTCCGCTCCGCTCCAGACCACCCCCCCCCCCCCCCCACACACACACACAGACACACACACACACACACAAACACGTTCTCCAGCTACAAACACAACAGCTGTCCGATTAGCAATTCAGAGTCACATGTACATTAAGTTCTACCTTCAAAAGACACTGGGGCTCTTTAATAATGATTTCCTCCAAGGAGAAGTGGAGCGCTGACATAAATGCAATTTACATAGAAATTCTGTTTATATGCCTGCATACTGTAATTGATTTCCGTTTATCCTGACACATTGCAAATGTCTCCTTTTGAACTCTATTGAAAGGTGTTGGGTAAGGTTCAAATTAGTATGTGCTATTTCAAATAATAGATTTTAAGATATTGGTCATTTTTCTCTCTAAATTTTTCTTAATAATTTTTTTAAAAACCCAAAGAGAGTAAGTACTACTCTGTTACAGAGAAATGACAGCTAGCACTTTTATAATCAATCAAATGTATCAGTAGTGTTTTCCTTGTAGTTTATAACATTTTTGGAACAGTATTTACAATATAGTGTGATATCTTGAAGATTTTTATAGCAGAGTGAAGGGGAGTTCATCAATCAAGATCTTTATGCATTTGACAACTGATTTCAACTTCTGAGCACCTATTCAAGCATAAAAGCATGATCTGTCTCCTACAAAAACAAACAAACATGAGCTGTCAATAACAAATACTGTACAAAGATCAAGAAGGGAAAGGCAAACATGATCATGGACAAGACCATTTGGCGTCATAACCCCTAACATCTCCACCACAATGGCTGATGTGTCGCGGTCACTGAACATTCTGGCACAAAATGGCTGCCATGCATCACGAGGAGTGCCACACATTGCTGATAAACGATGAGTCATTATCACGCTATGTAAAGCTCTGATGAGGTCTGCTCTTTGAGACTCCATATGATGTTTTCTAATATTCTTATTGTAGTTGTTTTCTCTACAGTGTACAGTGTCTCTATGGATCATGTTCAGTGGGCTACAGCAATGGTTCCAAAACTGTGACCTATGTAAAGATTTTGGACCCGACCCAAACCAGATTTTTGGAATCCCTCCTTCAGTGAGCACTTGGTGTCCACTTTGTCTCTCGGATCACATGTCCTTGAGACGTCAACACATGGCTTTGAGAGACATAGTAGCGTATATTTTCATAGTTTATGACTTCTGCTTTGATCATTCTCTGTATGGTGTGCAGTAATCCTACATAATGACGGTAACCAGTCATCAGTCCACACTGGTCTCAGCCAGCCTGTTGTTCATGATGCCCAGCGCCCCTACTCCTCCAGAGAAACCATTCTGTCTGTTTTGGTTGGAGACGGAAGGCCGAGGGATCCCATTGATTGCTGCCTCCGACAGCTGCTTCTCCATCAGGGCCAGGTTCACCTGGAGAGACGAGCATAGGTTCCCATGACACTTTCATAACTAGATCAACGATAATACATTATAAAGGCTCCTACATGTTTATAACAAGATATGAAGCATACCTGCAGGCTTTAAAAGGTAGCAGCACCGCAGATATTGAGATGAGCGTGATGCAAGACTTTGCCCTCACACACAGTCCCACAGAGTATGTGCACATGTGTAAGGGTTCGCTTCAACGCTTCTTAGGGCTCGATTCAATCCATAGCGCAGAAGATCTGTGTTGTAGCCCGGTTTACATTTAAAGGTCATTTTCAATTGAGCCGACATATGCAGCGTTTACCATGTATGCAGTCTTCGTGAACGTGGTAACATTGCCTTTAAATGTCAATCGTGCAACAACGTAGATCTTCCTCGCTACGGACTGAATCGAGCCGATATTGTGTTTACTTTGTGCATGCAACGTCATCTCACCGAGTGTACCTTTAAGTGTTACCAGATTTTACTGTCCCTTTGCACAGTTACATTAGCGCAGGATTTGCATCTCCAAACTGCTTGCTTACCAAAAGGATATACACAAATATATTTCCAACAATACAGACAACAGATCACACATTCCATATTGAATGACAGCACTAAGAAACATAGATCAGGTGCAGTCTGAAACGCTGATTTCAATTGGTCCCTAACCCTATTGGCCACACCGGGTACTAGATACTGTAAATACAGTCAAAACATGCCAAAGACCCATGCCCTCAATTTATAAAAGTGCAGGGGCAACACTTTTGACTAGAGATGAAAGTGACAGAGTGAACTTTTAACATGCTTTTTACCCGGCGATGCTCTAACCTTATTGGCAGCCAGGAAGTCCCTCATGGAGATCATCTCCCCCGACATCCGCCGTCCTCCATCAGTCTCACTCTCGTTCAACGCGTCCGTTTCTATGGAGACAGTCCGCCGCGCCCGTGAGTGTCCGTGTCCAGTGCCGCTGGGCATCACGGCATTCCGGCGCAGGTGCAATCCCTTCGCGATCCCGGCGGGGCAGCAGCGGCCTCGGCAGCAGAAGATATCCAGCTTTCTCAGCAACCAGTTGAGAGTCTGCTTGAGTTTTGGGAAACATTGAAATTCTGTGACATTATTAATAATAGTGCTCTGGTAAAAAACTCACATACCTAGAGAAAGAGGCTGGAGAGTGTGTGTGTGTGTGTGTGTGTGTGTGTGTGTGTGTGAAAGAGAGGAGGAAGAGCAAGAGAGGGATAGCCAATAGGAAAGGACAGAGTAAAGAGAGAGTGAACGCACGCCATCTCCCACAATGTGTGTCCGTGCATGCGTGCAACCACAACTGCTCATAAAACAAACACACATAAATAAAACAGAAAATCATCACCTGCTTGATGACAATGGATATGATGTTGAACAGCGAGTAGATACAGCAGACACCCATCAATATAAACAGGAAGTTCCCCAGTCTGTAGGCTATCTGGTTCCCGTCGTACGTAACCCTCTGGCTGCTTACCATGTCCCCGAACCCGATGGTGCTAAACGCCACAAAACAGAAGTACAGCGAGTCCAGATAGCCCCACCCCTCCACCGCTGAATACATGGCCGAGGCACAGCAGGAGATCACTACAGCGGCTACACAGAGAATCAGCATCACGCAGTACACTGAAGGCTTCCATCCAGCCAGACTGTCCCTGTCTCTATCTCTGGGTCCTGGCGGTGGCGTCCCCCTAGGGCCATCGTGAGGCATGACGCCCTGGCGCCGGCGCTGCAGCGCGTGGCATGACTTGAGCACGAAGGCGAGCACGGTGATGATGCGCTCCAGGAAGAGGTTGAAGAAGAGGATGGTGGAGGCGCAGCCGATCAGGCCGTAGAAGATGAGGAAGACTTTGCCGCTGACCGTTGTCGGGGTGGTCATGCCAAATCCTGACCAGAGAGAGGGGGGAGGGGTGGAGGAGAACAGAGAGGTATGGAGGGAAGGGGAGATGGAGGGAGAGAGAAAAGGTAGATGTTCAGGAGAGAAATTAAAATGGTGAAGGTTCATTCATCATAATTACCTTACTCTCCCTGTCTGTTAATGCCCACCCCCTCATCCCTCGTACACTTCTAAGGAGAAGAAAGTAAACCAGGTTGCCATAGGTGACAATACCTTTTCTTGGCATCTCTCTCTCCATCGCTACACTCCTCCGTCCCATTGAGTTCAATGCTAATTTAGCGAATGGGTTTTTCATGACCATTCTCACAGATGTGCTCCTCAGAGATGAAAAGATACATCCCTAAGAACTCATCCTTTTAAAAAGAAAGAGAGCCAGGGCTGAAGAACAGGCTTGAGACTACTGGAGGAGAGGGAAAGGAGATGCTAGCTATACTATGCTAGCACTGCCTTTATTGGCTTCTGTTTGTGTGTCTAACGTTTCATTCTCTTATTGATATCGACGGAGGTATACGTTTTTGAGCCGTTTCCGCTCTACTTCCTGAACTCCTCCCGTCGATGCAATCCACTTCCGTTCTGCCGGGCTGGGTTTGTTTTGCTAGCTAGCTCCGTTGTGCCGACAAAGCACTGATATCGCAGTGACAAAGAGGATATAAAAATTACAATTACAACATGAAGAAAAGTGGTTCGGGAACGACGTGTGCGGTAGTTGGTTGCAAAAACTTGAGAAAGCACCTGAACGAGTGGTTAGATAGAGAGTGCTACGACCACAAACCAGCTACAAAGAGGCAATGTCCATGCGCTCCATTGTTTAAATTTTTTCGCAAGCCTGATACCGACTCGGAATCAAGGACCTGGCTGAAGGCATTGAATCTAAAGAAACCACCCCTCAACGTTTTTGTTTGTTCCTATCACTTTGTTGACCAAAAACCTACCAAGGATAATCCTTTCCCAGAGTTGTGGTTGGGATACAATCGCCCTCCCCAGCCAAAGAGGCGTCAACTCACCCAGCGGACCACTGCCTCCCCCCAGATAAAGAAACGCAGACTTGAATCTGAGGGTAAGTTCAGCAACTTTAGCTATGAAGCTGACAATACTGTTAATTATGAAGAAGTTGTCATACATTAACGTTGCTACCGGTATTTTGCTAAGGCAGTTGATTGTTTTGGAGATGGGACAAACAATGCCCACGATAGCTACATCATTAATTGTGTGTGTGTGTGTGTGTGTGTGCCTGCCTGCGTGTGCCTTAGTCTACATCATAAATACAATGCAAGGTGGCAGGCTGTTGTGATGATGATTGTGTGTGTGCGTGTGAGTGCAATGTTGTAGTACACATTTTTCCATTGTGATGTTTGTAGTGAGAGGACTCTATGCCTGCATTAATTTTGCTCCATCCATGTTTTCTCTTCCCCTTTTTAGATGCTCCAGAAACCTGTCAGCCTGTCTGTGAGGCCGAGCCTGCTACACCAAAATTTCGAGATGCCCAGACCCAATGGGAGGATCCGTCACATATTGATCACATTTACTGTTCAACAACACAGTCTGTTAAAGTAGACAAGGCCACACAGTGCGAGGCAGAAATGGGTCCTACTGTGACCAGCACCACGGTCATTGATGATGCTAGGTCCCGGCTGTATACAGGAGTGCTTATGGTTCAATTCTTCACCCTGGTGACGGTGTTGTTGCCTTTCAGTAAGCCATCAATTACCCTTCCTGTTGTTGACCAAATACTTATGACGTTGATGAAACTAAAACTAAACCTAATATTAGGAGATATTGCTCACCGCTTCAATGTGTCTACATCCATGGCAAGCATTGTGATTTGTCACTGGATTGACGTGATGGGTGAACAGTTCAAAGTCCTGATCCCCTGGCTTCCAAGAGAGACCATTCGTGCCACCATGCCCTTGTCGTTTCAGAGGAACTACCCTCGAACCACCTGCATCATTGACTGTGCCGAAAGTGCCATGCAGAGAGCCACAAACCACGACTCAAGGAGTGACACTTTCAGCCAGTATAAATCACGCAACACTGTGAAATATCTCGTCGCTGTGGCCCCTAATGGGCTAATCATGTTTATATCTGATGCCTATGCTGGCAGAAGCAGCGATAAGTTTATCACCATGGACAGTGGGTTCCTAGACTATCTGAGGGCTGGTGATGAGGTCATGGCGGACCGTGGGTTCACCATTCGAGACTTGCTTGATGAGAGAAGGGTCAGTTTGAACATCCCTGCTTTCACCTACAGGCGCAATCAGTTGACCAATGAGGAGACGACACGCACCAGGCGAGTAGCCAATGTCCGCATACATGTGGAAAGAGCAATCCAGAGACTGAAGGTGTTTAAGATTTTATCCCAGACTGTTCCCATCAGCATGGCACCGAAACTGGACAACATCTTAACCATCTGTGCTGGCCTAGTTAACCTGAAGAGTCCACTGATCAGTGAGGTTTAGAATCTTGCCCTGTGTCCCTGTCTACCAACACCCAGCCATGTTGTTCATTAAATACAGATAAACACAACAAATACTGCGTGCATTGTATTTTTTTATATTATATATGAATATTTTCATAGTGATGTAATTGTGTGGGCTGCTTTTGTATTTTACTTTTTAATACCTGTTAAGATTAAACACGCAATCTTTCTTGTTGAAGCCATTTGTTTAGTTTCCTCAAAACAATTAATTAATCCAGTGTTATTTATGTACAGTATGAGCTTACTATGAATTATGAACTGTGTTAAAATAAATTGTAGCACTCTAAGGATTGAAATTACATCAAACTTTATTTTCACTCAAACAGTAGGCACACTGATATATTGCACAGCATAAAGAGATCATGTAAACAATGGACATCTGTTGGCTCCTGTGGGCATGACCTAAATAAGGCAGTTTATTTTGGTTTTAAAATGCTGAAATATTTACTGCAGAACTGTAACCTTCCCTCAACAAAATCATCAACATAAGCAGCCTTATGATATGCCCCTGGACAAAGCCTTGGTCGTAGGGTACTTCGATTTCTAGGTGCTCAGTTTTGTTCCAGATCACCAACTTGGAGTGCTGAAGCCCTGTGCAGTGCATCCCAATTTGTACCTGCATGTAGTAGCCTTTTCTCCAGTCAAAGTAGTAGAACCGTGTTCCCAAGCTAGCGTCGACATCGCTGTGTTTACACCGGCAGACGTTGTGCAAACAACTTCCGGCGGAAATGAAATGCATTTGTGTAGAGTTATGGCGCCACCCGGGATACAGCGCGTAAACTTGTCTATATCCTATAGCCTTTACCCTATAACCTTTCAAATAGCCCGTGGTCTCTGAAAAATACTTTTTCAAACCATTAGCATAATATTCTCCCTCCACACCAAAAAAACATGTAATTTATATACAGTTGAGGGCGAAAGGTAGCCTATCGGTTTGAGAGTTGGGCCAGTAACCGAAAGGTCGCTGGTTCGAATACCTGAGCCAACAAAGTGAAAAATCTGTCGATGTGCCCTTGAGCAAGGCACTTAACCCTAATTTGCTCCAGGCCGCCGTACTACTATGGCTGACCCTGTAAAACAACACATTTCACTGCATAAAACAACTTTATTATTTTAGTTTTACATTGTTTTGTCAGGTCTCAGAAAAAATTGTTTTATTGACAAATCTAATAAATAAGATTGAGTATGACAAGACCCCACACCACAGTATGATATTTATTTCAGCCTTGACCATGGGAAGAGAGAGAAGAAGCTTGTTGTCATTCTCACTAAACCTCAGTGTTCAGAAAAGAGTGGTATGTTTAATAAAGTTTGGTTTCCCTTGAAACATATCATTAAGAATGCATGAGGTGTCTGTCTGCATAGTGGGGCTAGCCTGGTGGGGTTACCCCATACTGCGCAAACAGCCTTTGAGCATCATCATGTGCTATATGAGCATCATGTACTCAACTTCAAACCTCAGGCTGTATCGTCCGCTGCCCATAGGTTATATACTGTATTTGTGTTACACACTCTCAGTAAAGGAAATATGGACGCCAGGAGGGAGGCAAAGTGCTCAACAGTATCTGATTTGTAATGGTTGACAGCCTACTGGAAACAAGAAAAAAAACAAGAATATATAGCTGCGAGCAGAAATGAACAGGGTTCACAGGATGACAGAAAGGACACAAGATCAGTTAGATAAAGCAAAAACTCTATCATGTAGGAACTATCTTCCTTTATGTGCAATCAGTGAAAGCATTAACATGTTTCTCTCAATACCACAAGGATGACACTAGTGAAGTTTAGTCTAGTGCTGTAGGTTGGTCTTTGAATGCAGCAGGTAATCATTCATAAGGTCATTACTTAATGTATTGAGCTTATATACAAATTCTGAGGTCAATTTGACAAATGGTTTAAGCTAAGATTTGTGAAAAAATCTAGTATCCTATAGATGTCACTGGTGCCAATTACATCTATTGTGCCAACAAATGGTCTGATGCAGACATCTAAGGTTGAAGTGACTTTATATTCACACAGCTTCTAAGGACATATAAACTCGGCAAAAAAGGACCCTGTCTTTCAAAGTTAATTCGTAAAAATCCAAATAACTTCACAGATCTTCATTGTAAAGGGTTTAAACACTGTTTCCCATGCTTGTTCAATGAACCATAAACAATTAATGAACATGCAGCTGTGGAACGGTCGTTAAGACACTAACAGCTTACAGACAGTAGGCAATTAAGGTCACAGTTATGAAAACTTAGGTCACTAAAGAGGCCTTTCTACTGACTCTGAAAAACACCAAAAGAAAGATGCCCAGGGTCCCTGCTCATCTGCGTGAACGTGCCTTAGGCATGCTGCAAGGAGGCATGAGGACTGCAGATGTGGCCAGGGCAATAAATTGCAATGTCCGTACTGTGAGACGCCTAAGACAGCGCTACAGGGAGACAGGACGGACAGCTGATCGTCCTCGCAGTGGCAGACCACGTGTAGCAACACCTGCACAGGATCGGTACATCCGAACATCACACCTGCGGGACAGGTACAGGATGGCAACAACAACTGCCCGAGTTACACCAGGAACGCACAATCCCTCCATCAGTGCTCAGACTGTCCACAATAGGTTGAGAGAGGCTGGACTAGAGGGCTTGTAGGCCTGTTGTAAGGCAGGTCCTCACCAGACATCACCGGCAACAACATCGCCTATGGACACAAACCCACTGTCGCTGGACCAGACAGGACTGGCAAAAAGTGCTCTTCACTGACGAGTCGCGGTTTTGTCTCACCAGGGGTGATGGTCAGATTCGCGTTTATCGTGAAAGGAATGAGCGTTACACCGAGGCCTGTACTCTGGAGCGGGATCGATTTGGAGGTGGAGGGTTCAATCTTGGTTTCATCAGACCAGAGAATCTTGTTTCTCATGGTCTGTGAGTCTTTAGGTGCCTTTTGGCAAACTCCAAGCGGGCTGTCATGTGCCTTTTATTGGGAGTGGCTTCCGTCTGGCCACTCTACCATAAAGGCCTGATTGGTGGAGCGCTGCAGAGATGGTTGTTCTTCTGGAAGGTTCTCCCATCTCCACAAAGGAACTCTGGAGTTCTGTCAGAGTGACCATCTGGTTCTTGGTCACCTCCCTGACCAAGGCCCTTCTCTCCCAATTGCTCAGTTTGTCCGGGTGGCCAGCTCTAGGAAGAGTCTAGGTGGTTCCAAACTTCTTCCATTTAAGAATGATGGAGGCCACTGTGTTCTTGAGGACCTTCAATGCTGCAGAAATGTTTTGGTACCCTTCTCCAGATCTGTGCCTCAACACAATCCTGTCTCGGAGCTCCAAGGACAATTCCTTCGACCCCATGGCTTGACTTTTGCTCTGATATGCACTGTCAACTGTGGGACCTTATATAGACAGAGGTGTGCCTTTGCAAATCATATCCAATCAATTGAATTTACCACAGGTGGACTCCAATCAAGTTGTAGAAACATCTCAAGGATGATCAATGGAAACAGGATGCACCAGAGCTCAATTTCAAGTCTCATAGCAAAGGGTCTGAGTACTTATGTAAATAAGGTATTTCTGTTTAGTTTTTTTAATACATTTCCAAAAATCTGTTTTCGCTTTGTCATTATGGGGTATTGTCTGTAGATCGATGAGGATTTTTTTTCTCCATTTTAGAACAAGGCTGAAACGTAACAAAATGTGGAAAAAGTCAAGGGGTCTGAATACTTTCCGAAGGCAGTGTATATTAGGGACTATTGTGATGAGTCCAAAAACTACATTTGGAGTGCATCTGACTTTTAGTCCATGAGAAGATTTTTTAAGATTATTTTGTCAAAAAAGTGTTACATTGTCAAAAAAGTGAATTGTTAACAGTTTCCTTCTTTTTTAAGATATACTGTATATTTAAAACTTAACATGGTTCATCATGGTAATGTCTGATGACCCTAAAAACTCAAGTTGATAGGCAATTGTGGAGCTTTGGAGCACATTAAATGAAATGTTGGGCAAAAAGGCAAACTCCGCTCCATCATTCATTGAATCAGATGGCTCATTCATCACAAAACCCACTGATATTGCCAACTACTTTAATGACTTTTTCATTGGCAAGATTAGCAAATTTAGGCATGACATGCCAGCAACAAATGCTGACACTACACATCCAAGTATATCTGACCAGATTATGAAAGACAAACATTGTAATTTCGAATTCCGTAAAGTAAGTGTGGAAGAGGTGAAAAAAGTATTATTGTCGATCAACAATAACAAGCCACCGTGGTCTGACAACTTGGATGGAAAATTACTGAGGATGATAGCGGACAATATTGCCACTCCTATTTGCCATATCTTCAATTTAAGCCTACTGGAAAGTGTGTGCCCTCAGTCCTGGAGGGAAGCAAAAGTTATTCCCCTACCTAAGAATAGTAAAAAACCCTTAATTGGCTCAAATAGCTGACCAATCATCCTGTTACCAACCCTTAGTAAACTTTTGGGAAAAAGTGTTTTTGACCATATAAAATCCTATTTTACACTAAACAAATTGACAACAGACTTTCAGCACGCTTATAGGGAAGGACATTCAACAAGCACAGCACAGACACAAATGACTGATGATTGGCTGGGAGAAATTGATGATAAAAATATTGTGGGGGCTGTTTTGTTAGACTTCAGTGCGGCTTTTGACATTATCGATCATAGTCTGTTGCTGGAAAAACATTTGTGCCATGGCTTTACACCCCCTGCTATATTATGGATAAAGAGTTACCTGTCTAACAGAACACAGAGGGTGTTCTTTAATGGAAGTCTCTCCAACAAAATCCAGGTAGAATCAGGAATCCCCAGGGCAGCTGTCTAGGCCCCTTACATTTTTCAATCTTTACTAACGACATGCAACTGGCTTTGAGTAAAGCCAGTGTGTCTATGTATGTGGATGACTCAACACTATACACGTCAGCTACCACAGCGACTGAAATGAAAGCAACACTTAACAAAGAGCTGCAGTTAGTTACAGAATGGGTGGCAAGGAATAAGTTAGTCCTAAATATTTCAAAAACTAAAAGCATTGTATTTGGGACAAATAATTTACTAAACCCTAAACCTCAACTAAATCTTGTAATGAATAATGTGGAAATTGAGCAAGTTGAGGAGACTAAATTGCTTGGAGTAACCCTGGATTGTAAATTGTCATGGTCAAAACATATTGATACAACAGTAGCTAAAATGGGGAGAAGTCTGTCTATAATAAAGTGCTGCTCTGCATTCTTAACAGCACTATCAACAAGGCAGGTCCTACAGGCCTTAATTTTGTCACACCTGGACTACTGTTCAGTCGTGTGGTCAGGTGCCACAAAGAGGGACTTTGCAAAAATTGCAATTGGCTCAGAACAGGGCAGCACGGCTGGCCCTTGGATGTACACAGAGAGCTAACATTAATAATATGCATGTCAATCTCGACTGGCTTAAAGTGGAGGAGAGATTGACTTGATTACTACTTGTATTTGTGAGAGGTATTGACATGTTGAATGCACCGAGCTGTCTGTTTGAACTACTGGCACATAGCACGGACACACATGCAAGCCCCAAAAGACATGCCACCAGAGGACTCTTCACAGTCCCCAAGTCAAGAACAGACTATGGGAGGCGCACAGTACTACATAGAGCCATGACTACATGGAACTCTATTCCACATCAAGTAACTCATGCCAGCAGTAAAATTAGATTTAAAAAACAGATACAAATCAACCTTATGAAACAGCGGGGACTGTGAAGCAACACAAACATAGACGCATGCATACAAACATATGATCATATATGCACTATACACACATGTACACATGGATTTCGTGTTATAGATACACTACCAGTCAAATGTTTGGACACACCTACTCATTCAAGGGTTTTTCTATATTTGTACTATTTTGTACATTGTAGAATAATAGTGAAGATATCAAAACTATGAAAGAACACATATGGAATCATGTAGTAAACAAAAAAGTGTTAAACAAATCTAAATATATTTTATATTTCAGATTCTTCAAATAGCCACCCTTTGCCTTGATGACAGCTTTGCACACTCTTGGCATTTGCTCTACCAACTTCACCTGGAATGCTTTTCCAACAGCCTTGAAGGAGTTCCCACATATGCTGAGCACTTGTTGGCTGCTTTTCCTTCACTCTGCGGTCCGACTCATCCCAAACCATCTCAATTGGGTTGAGGTCGGGGGATTGTGGAGGCCAGGTCATAGCCCTTACACAGCCTGGAGGTGTGTTGGGTCATTGTCCTGTTGAAAAACAAATGATAGTCCCACTAAGCCCAAACCAGATGGGATGGCGTATCGCTGTAGAATGCTGTGGTAGCCATGCTGGTTAAGTGTGCCTTGAATTCTAAAAAAAATCACAGACAGTGTCACCAGCAAAGCACCCCCACACCATAACACCTCCTCCTCCATGCTTTACTGTGGGAAATAAACATGCAGAGATCATCCGTTCACCCACACCACGTCTCACAAAGACACGGCGGTTGGAACCAAAAATCTCAAATTTGGACTCCAGACCAAAGGACACATTTCCACCGGTCTAATGTCCATTGCTCGTGTTTCTTGGCCCAAGCAGGTCTCTTCTTCTTATTGGTGTCCTTTAGTAGTGCTTTCTTTGCAGCAATTTGACCACGAAGGCCTGATTCACACAGTCCCCTCTGAACAGTTGATGTTGAGATGTGTCTGTTACTTAAACTCCGTGAAGCATTTATTTGGGCTGCAATTTCTGAGGCTGGTAACTCTAATGAACTTATTATCTGCAGCAGAGGTAACTCTGGGTCTTCCATTCCTGTGGCGGTCCTCATGAGAGCCAGTTTCATCATAGCACTTGATGGTTTTTGCGACTGCACTTGAAGAAACTTACAAAGTTCTTGAAATTTTCCGTATTGACTGACCTTCATGTCTTAAAGTAATGATGGACTGTAATTTATCTGCTTATTTAAGCTCTTCTTGCCATAATATGGACTTGGTCTTTTACCAAATAGGGCTATCTTCTGTATACCCCACTTCCTTTTCACAACACAACTGATTTGCTCAAACGCATTAAGAAGGTAAGAAATTCCACAAATTAACTTTTAAGAAGGCACACCTGTTAATTGAAATGCATTCCAGGTGACTACCTCATGAAGCTGGTTGAGAGAATGCCAAGAGTGTGCAAAGCTGTCATCAAGGCAAAGGGTGGCTATTTGAAGAATCTCAAATTAAAATATATTTTGATTTGTTTAACACTTTTTGGGTTATTACATGATTCCATATGTGTTATTTCATAATGTTGATGTCTTCACTATTATTCTACAATGTAGAAAATAGTAAAAATAAAGAAAAATTTGTCCAAACTTTTGACTGCTACTGTATGTGGTAGTAGAGTAGAGGCCTGAGGTTGCACACTTAATATGTTGTGAAATCTGTTATGAATGTATTGTAATGTTTTTAAAATGTATAACTGCCTTAATTTTGCTGGACCCCAGCAGCTAATGGGGATCCATAATAAATACAAAGGATTTAAATGTAAAATCTGATTTCCTTATTTATCAATAACTCAGTCATCTCTTAACCAATCCCTTCGCTTTTCTCAAACGAAGTTAAGACATGTATCATGGGCCTACATACCGAATTTGGTGTTAAAATTTCCAAGAGGAGGAAAATCTATCCTGACAGACCTTATTTCACCTTGAGGCAAGATTGTTCAGCATGTGGAAAGACACCTACATACAAAGTTTCAAGTCTGTAGTTCAAACGTGGCAACGGATATGAGGGTTTAATTGAGACTGCTTATAATGGTACCCCCAATCTGTGCCACTCTTTTTGACCAAACCAAATCAAATCAAATGACTTGCTTGGACGGAGCTCAAAAAAGGTTCCTATGGTTCATGAGAAGATTTTTGAAGTATTTTTAGCTATTTTAGCATATTAACGTATGTGCTAATATGCATCTACTGGTATAGTGTGGCCATCTTTGAATTCATCAACGTTATTTTCTCAACATCTTTAAGGGCTATTATGACCAAATTTGGATTGCATATGACATTTAGTCCCATGAGATTTGTATGATTATTTTAAGCATTAGTGTTACTTAGTCAAAAAAGTGAATTGTTAATAGTTACCTTATTTTTTAAGATATCAATGTCAAACTTAACATGGTTCATCATGGTTATGTCTTTGATGACCCTTAACAGTTTCATGTTGATAGGCCATTGTGGAGTGGATTTAGAAAGGATATAAATGGCCACGTAAAATTGGATTTCTTGATTTATCAATAACTTAAACATATTTTTGGCCAATCCCTTAGCTTTTCTCAAACTAAGGCCGTTTTCAAATATGGAATTAGATTCCCTAGTTTGGTTTCCTGGAGCATTCGTGAGAATTATACAAAATACGTTTAGGATGTGATTTGCGAGACACATTCCACATGGCTTTAGCATGCCAGCTTGTTTACAACGGTCAAAAAGTTGTGTGACTCGCGCTGCTGTGTCACAATACCTGGTACTCTGGTCCTGGATGTTGGACCCGCTACTCACGCAGGTCCAGGATACGTTTCAGCCAGGGTTCGTTTGCATTTCACACATGCTTTATTGCGCGGATCAGGGTACCAAATGCTCTAGGATCTGGATCATACAGAGATATGTGAAAGCGCACTAACTTAAGACATCTACCATGGGCCTACATTCCAAATGTTGTGTCATTTGGTCCTATGGTTCATGAGAAGATTTTTGAGCATATTTTTGCATATTAGCGTATGTGCTAATATGCATCTGCTGGTATAGTGTGGACATATTTGAATGCATCAACATTATTTTCTCAAACTCTTTATGAGTGATGAGTCCAAAGACCAAATTTGGAGAGCATATCACTTTTTTTCATTTTGATGTTTTTCAAAGGTTTTCCAAAATTTCCAAAATGGAGGAAAATCTATCCTGATGGACCTTATGGGCCCTTGAGATACATTTGTTCAACATGAGGAAAGATACCTACCTACATACAAAGTTTCAAGTCTATGTCAAAGGGGGCAATGGATATGCTAAGCTACAGGACTGTTTTGCTAGCTCCGACTGGAATATGTTCCGGGATTCTTCCGATGGCATTGAGGAGTACACCACATCAGTCACTGGCTTCATCAATAAGTGCATCGATGACGTCATCCCCACAGTGACTGTACGTACATACCCCAACCAGAAGCCATGGATTACAGGCAACATCCGCACTGAGCTAAAGGGTAGAGCTGCCGCTTTCAGGGAGCGGGACTCTAACCCGGAAGCTTAAAAGAAATCCTGCTATGCCCTCCGAAGAACCATCAAACAGGCAAAGTGTCAATACAGGACTAAGATCGAATCGTACTACACTGGCTCCGACGCTCGTCGGATGTGGCAGGGCTCGCAAACTATTACAGACTACAAAGGGAAGCACAGCCGCGAGCTGCCCAGTGACACGAGCCTACCAGACGAGCTAAATTACTTCTATGCTCGCTTCGAGGCAAGTAACACTGAAACATGCATGAGAGCATCAGCTGTTCCGGACGACTGTGTGATCACGCTCTCCGTAGCCGATGTGAGTAAGACCTTTAAACAGGTCAACATTCACAAGGACGCAGGGCCAGATGGATTACCAGGACGTGTACTCTGAGCATGCGCTGACCAACTGGCAAGTGTCTTCACTGACATTTTCAACCTCTCCCTGTCGGAGTCTGTAATACCAACATGTTTCAAGCAGACCACCATAGTCCCTGTGCCCAAGAACACTAAGGTAACCTGCCTAAATGACTACCGACCCGAATCACTCACATCTGTAGCCATGAAGTGCTTTGAAATGCTGGTCATGGCTCACATCCACACCATGATCCCAGAAACCTTAGAAACCCCCAGATCCACAGATGATGCCATCTCTATTGCGCTCCACACTGCTCTTTCACACCTGGACAAAAGGAACACCTATGTGAGAATGCTATTCATTGACTACAGCTCAGCGTTCAACACCATAGTGCCCTCAAAGCTCATCACTAAGCTAAGGACCCTGGGACTAAACACCTCCCTCTGCAACTGGATCCCGGACTTCCTAACGGGCCGCCACCAGGTGGTAAGGGTAGGTAACAACACATCCGCCACGCTGATCAGCAACACAGGGGCCCCTCAGGGGTGCGTGCTCAGTCCCCTCCTGTACTCCCTATTCACTCATGAATGCATGGCCAGGCACGACTCCAACACCATCATTAAGTTTGCCGATGACACAACAGTGGTAGGCCTGATCACCGACAACGACGAGACAGCCTATAGGGAGGAGGTCAGAGACCTGGTCGTGTGGTGCCAGGACAACCACCTCTCCCTCAAGAGGACCGAGCACGCCCACATTCTCATCGCCGGGGCTGTAGTGGAGCAGGTTGAGTGCTTCAAGTTCCTTGGTGTCTACATCACCAACAAACTAACATGGTCCAAGCACACCAAGACAGTCGTGAAGAGGGCACGACAAAACCTATTCCCCCTAAGGAGACTTAAAATATTTGGCATGGGTCCTCAGATCCTCAAAAAGTTCTACAGCTGCACCATCAAGAGCATCCTGACTGGTTGCATCACTGCCTGGTATGGCAACTGCTCGCCATCCGACCACAAGGCACTACAGAGGGTAGTGCATACGGCCCAGTACAACACTGGGGCCAAGCTTCCTGCCATCCAGGACCTCTATAACAGACGGTGCCCTAAAAATGGTCAAAGACTCCAGCCACCCTAGTCATAGACTGTTCTCTCTGCTACCGTACGGCAAGCGGTACCGGAGCGCCAAGTCTAGGTCCAAGAGGCTTCTAAACAGCTTCTACCCCCAAGCCATAAGACTCCTGAACATCTAATCAAATGGCTACCCAGACTATTTGCATTGCCCCAAACTGCATTGTTGGTTAAGGGCTTGTAAGTAAGCATTTCACTGTAAGGTCTACACCTGTTGTATTCGGCGCATGTGACAAATACAATTTGATTTGATTTTGATTTGATTTATGAGGGTTTAAGTGAGACATAGGCCAATCAGTGCCATTTTTTTTTTTTTACCAAACCAATCAAATGCCTTGCTTGGGAGGTGCTCAAAGGTGGCCACTAGTGGTTCATCTGTGACATTATATTTGACCAAATTACTCATGGCCTAGACATTTTTTATAATAGGTGTTCACAGAAAATAAATATCTGCAATGAAAATAAATAACCTGAATGATTAATAGCCATATCATTTTTGGCAAAACTGAAGTCATCAGTCATTTCATCAGTAATTTGATGTTCATGTTCCTTCTGCCTTAATGCTAGCAATGACTGACAACTTCGGAGAAATAGGAGCTGCCAATTAACTGAACATTGATTTCTGAGACTGGGTCAACTTCATCTTCTTGAGAAGGGCCAACGTCAACGCTCTTTGTCACATAGAGAAAAGTATATTTAATATCTCCAATATGTATTTGTGTCTGTCTCCTTTATCTGCATGGTGATCTACAGTAGACTAAAGGAGAGTATTTGTAGTACGCAAAATGCCACCATGCTCATCTACCTTGATTGTTTCCTGTTTTATCTATTAAATCGCAGACCTGCCCATACATTTTTCCGGCATCAATTCACTATTAATTTCTCTCTCTCATTGATAGGGATGAAGATATAAGGGTTATACTGTTATTCACTTTGTCAAGGTGTCACAGTGTCCTGTCTTTTGAAGTGCAGTTAATTTCCTGAATAATTTTTTTAAGGTATGCAACATAAAAACAACTTTTCTTGTGATTTTCATCCCTGCTTCATTGCGCGTGAAAGTGAAACTGGTGCATAGCACTTATAAATTATTCAAATGGTGCATTTAGATTAAAAGTGAATTTCTTTGCAATACAGCACAGTCTTTACTGAACCTTCTGGCTTTGTTTCTGAGCTTACCTATGGTCGACACCACGGTACCGACAAAGTAGAAGGCGCCGGTAAAATCCCAGCGTGGTCTCAGTGTATCCACGCGGATACCGGCGATGTTCGCCTCCTCATAGAACCGGAGAAATGTCTCCAAGTCGGTCCGGTTAAGGTTGTGCTTCTGGGTGAATCTCTCGAAGCGCTGCACCCACTGCTCCTTCGCCTGCCTCTCCTTCGGCTGCTCCAACGCGGAGAACACCGCAGCACCGCACAACAGATACAGCACGATCAGCACCGCCAGCATCAGAAACCGCGCGTTATCCTCGTTCACCACACCGCAGCAGCAGCCTCTCCTGCACGCCATTACGGCGGCAGAGAGGACACCGAGGACCCGGGGAGAAGGAGCCTCCGCATCATCTCAGATGAAGGCACATGAAAGCCTTCCGGATAAGTCAGAATGTGGGTTGTTCCACCAATTCGGTGCCTTTTGAGAAGTGTAACTTGGTAAAAAAAAAAAGTTTGATTTCACTTAATTTTACCATTCTGTCATAAAGAGCACATGTTCAACTTCATAAAAAAACAGGTCTTTCCATCTCAAGCGGTAAAACAATTAATAATATATATATGCCTATTAACTGCCAAATAAAGTAACACAGTTGACAATTTCATCTTGAATCAGCTATAAATCCCCTTGTGACAGGGGGAATGGAAGCTTGTTGTGTACAACAGGGAGTGGCAAGTGAATGAATGCTTCACAAAAATATAGAAATTGTTAAAACATTTCTAGACTGTCTATCTATGTGTAGCCTCACCGAGAAGCAGGCTGACCACACTGCTCACGTTACATGCCCGAGCAGTTGTTAAATGAATTTACACATACATATAATTTAATCCAAACTGCTCACATGCGTCATCAAGCGTCTGCGTAGCCCAGGCGCTAAAATATAACTTTATTTATGCATGATGCGCTGCAAGTCCCGCCTCTTCCATCTCCTCATTGGTTTTTAGCACCATTCACCCACGTGGGTGATTGATAGATGAACTGAGGTCCACACTCCAGTCAGTATTGGTAATGCACCTTTAAAGTTGGTTGCCAACTGCCATATAAAGTCCGAAGAAGAAGAAGAAGACAGCTGAAGGATGAAAAATTACTACAAACTAACTAGATTTACCCTTTTATCTGTGGATTAATTGTCAGAGTAGAGGACCTTGTGCATTTCAGGTAAAATAACAACCCAATGTTTATATCCCAGGACAAATTAGCTAGAAAAAGCAAACTAGCTAGATAAATTGCCATGAATGTTTCATGCGTTTCGACCCGTCCACAAATCAATATATTTGGTTCAGAGTTCGTTTTGATATTTCAACCTGCGTGTCCTGATCGCATCTGGTGTGGATGGACAAAATCAAAATGCGCGCGATGGCACGCGCCCAGTCTAGTCAGCATGTAATCGGGAAAGCTTGGTGAAGTCCATGGCAGAAAGTATCTACAAAGGGGTGGAAACCAGTGACTCCTCACAACAAGTCAAGCCAATCAAATACCCTGCCTTGGGGTAAAAAATATGGCCGGGAAATTGCTGATTAAAACTATCGGCCACACTTGATACACTCAACTTTTACCATCGCCAGTAGGTAGACACGCCATAACATCTGTTTTTTTTTATTGTTGTAGAGAGTTCAAGTAGAAGAGTTGCAATGCCTTCATCGACTCAGAAAACAGTGACGAATATAATAGGCTACATAGCACCCCTTCTACGGGCATGTGGGGGAGGGTTCTTGAAATGTAACATCCCAATCAAAACGTAGCTCTGGAAACCAGTGGACCATTCTAGCCATTTCGGCAAATACAACATTCTCCAGACCTCCAAAGTTGGAGTGACCACAACGTGATTTTGGAGTTGTGGCTACGTGAGACTAAATATGAGTAACATGCAGACTAGACCGGGCGTGCGCCATCGCACGCATGTTGATTTTGTACACCCACACCAGACGCGATCAGGACACGCAGGCTGAAATATCAAAACTAACTCTGAACCAACTATATTAATTTGGGGACAGGTTGAAAAGCATTAAACATTTATGGCAATTTAGCTAGCTAGCTAGCTTACTGTTGCTAGCTAATTTGTCCTGGGATATAAACATTGGGTTGTTATTTTACCTGAAATGCACAAGGTCCTCTACTCCGACAATTAATCCACAGATAAAAGGGTAAACCGAGTTTGTTTCTAGTAATCTCTCCTCCTTCATGCTTCTTCTTCTTCTTTGAAATGTATATGGCGGTTGGCAACCAACTTTAATGTGCATTACCATCCCCAACTGGACTGGAGTGTGGACCTCAGTTTATCTTTCCAACACCCACGTGGTTAAATGCTCCTAAAAACCAATGAGGAGATGGGAGAGGCGGGATTTGCAGTGCGTTGAGCGTCACAAATAAAACCAAGTTCTATTTTAGTGCTTGGCTACGCAGAAGCTCGCGAGCGGTATGGGTGCAATGATTGAATAACATGTATGTGTAAAAAAAATTTGCAACGCTTGCGCACGCGACGCGAGCGGTGTGGTCAGCATGTAACATGATTGCCGTGTTATGCTCAACCCACTCCGTTTTCCACCACAAAACACAGCAAATGGCCAAAAAGAGTAGAACCATCTCACCTGCTTTTACACTATGTTTTGACTATTAGATGTTCAATGTTTCATTAAAAAAAAACATGTTTTAAAGGAATAGTTTTACCATATTAACAAGGTTGACCTTAATGAGGGACAGACATAAATGAATCATTGATAACATGAGATAAATAATAATCTTCAGAAATTACTTTGTCAAAGAAACAAAATAACTAGGGCTTTACAATGATGGTGAAAACTTGGAGAAATGTTGGGGTTAAGTGGGTTAAAGTTTTCCTAGAAATCACGGGGTGCATGGAAGGACATGTCAAAATGCTGAATTTAATATATGTATTTATTTAACCTTTATTTAACTAGGCATTTAATATGAATCTTTATTCATATTAAAAATCACATTCATTAAGTTCTCCATGTGGTCTATATTAAATGGCACTTCATTAAATATAACAGGCTTTTAAAATTCAATATTGGTGCACAATGTCTACTTAATATATCAAAGGGATGCAAAAAGCACTCATTTCGTGGAACGACCCATGTATAGTTCCATATTCTGGCAGAAGTCCCATAACTGTTGGGAATGTTTCATTTAAAAAGATACCCAATTACCTCGACTCTCACCTTATCATCCACAGGCAATTTTTTATGGAAAATAAATCAATTCTAAATATTAATATTGAAGGTAGACTCAGCGATAAGTAGATGCAGAAAGTAAACAGAATAGTGGGTCAATTTCTGCAACTAATAGAGTTGAAGTGCAAGGCTCAACTTCTCCGCAGTTTTGGTTCCGTGGCTGCCACACTGTAACAGCGTGAAGCGAACCAGTGCACTTGTGCAGATACTGTGTGTAACTGTGTCATCTCAATGGGCGCATCCAAGCAAATCCCTTTTGCCAAGTCGGTGACCATCGTTGGTTAGCGCCTTTCAAAGTGTGTTGCACTATGGTGATAAACATTTCCGACTTGTGCCTACATGTCGACTGCATGAATTTTACAAAAATCATGTGATCAAAGGTCATTAAGTTTTTACTGCAAGTTTCTGCAGTTGCTATTCACCAACTTCAAACTGTAGCCATCGCCTGCATTGTGGGAGGCTCTATTGTTAGGGTGTTTTCGTTAGACCCAGGCGAACTTGACCAAAGTCCTGACTAAAACAGGAACCAACTTTGTTGCAATTCATATACAGTGGATATGTGCAAATGAATATATTTGAGTCTCTCTCTCTCACCAATTGATTGTACAATGTACACACATACACTGAGTGTACAAAACATGAAAAACACCTTTTGCCCTCAGAACAGCCTCAATTCGTAGGGGCATGGACTCTACAAGGTGTCAAAAGTGTTCCACAGGGATGCTGGCCCATGTTGACGCCAATGCTTCCCACAGTTGTGTCAAGTTGGCTGGATGTCCTTTGGGTGGTGGACCATTCTTGATACACGCAGGACATGGTTGAGCGTGAAAAACCCAGCAGCGTTGCAGTATTTTTATTTTTAGGGGGTAGATCAGCTTTAATATTGCAGATAGATTGTAACTTCCATCAATGTAATTGTCTGCATCACTTCCAATCCCCCATATGTTTTTTTTCTCTCACATTTATATACAGTGGGGAGAACAAGTATTTGATACACTGCCGATTTTGCAGGTTTTCCTACTTACAAAGCATGTAGAGGTCTGTAATTTTTATCATAGGTACACTTCAACTGTGAGAGAGAGAATCTAAAACAAAAATCCAGAAAATCACATTGTATGATTTTTAAGTAATTAATTTGCATTTTATTGCATGACATAAGTATTTGATCACCTACCAACCAGTAAGAATTCCGGCTCTCACAGACCTGTTCGTTTTTCTTTAAGAAGCCCTCCTGTTCTCCACTCATTACCTGTATTAACTGCACCTGTTTGAACTCGTTACCTGTATAAAAGACACCTGTCCACACACTCAATCAAACAGACTCCAACCTCTCCACAATGGCCAAGACCAGAGAGCTGTGAAAGGACATCAGGGATAAAATTGTAGACCTGCACAAGGCTGGGATGGGCTACAGGACAATAGGCAAGCAGCTTGGTGAGAAGGCAACAACTGTTGCCGCAATTATTAGAAAATGGAAGAAGTTCAAAATGACGGTCAATCACCCTCGGTCTGGGGCTCCATGCAAGATCTCACCTCGTGGGGCATCAATGATCATGAGGAAGGTGAGGGATCAGCCCAGAACTACACGGCAGGACCTGGTCAATGACCTGAAGAGAGCTGGGACCACAGTCTCAAAGAAAACCATTAGTAACACACTACGCCGTCATGGATTAAAATCCTGCAGCGCACGCAAGGTCCCCCTGCTCAAGCCAGCGCATGTCCAGGCCCGTCTGAAGTTTGCCAATGACCATCTGGATGATCCAGAGGAGGAATGGGAGAAGGTCATGTGGTCTGATGAGACAAAAATAGAGCTTTTTGGTCTAAACTCCACTCGCCGTGTTTGGAGGAAGAAGAAGGATGAGTACAACCCCAAGAACACCATCCCAACCGTGAAGCATGGAGGTGGAAACATCATTCTTTGGGGATGCTTTTCTGCAAAGGGGACAGGACGACTGTACCGTATTGAGGGGAGGATGGATGGGGCCATGTATCGTGAGATCTTGGCCAACAACCTCCTTCCCTCAGTAAGAGCATTGAAGATGGGTCGTGGCTGGGTCTTCCAGCATGACAACGACCCGAAACACACAGCCAGGGCAACTAAGGAGTGGC